TAATCCCTTGGGTGTCCTGCCTAAAATCTCATCACAGCCTGAAACGTTCCTATTGATGGCTGTACTTTCTTAATTATCTATCAGCATTGAACTTTACAATTAATTTTGTCACTCCTTAATTTGATCATTACATGTTGATGTGGAAAACAGTCAGAAGTCTTAAAGAGTGGAAAGCTTGTGGAATGTTACTGGTGTGGGCTGTAAAGTGAATGGTGTAAGCGGGTTCAAGAGGGAACTAGGTGTGTTTCCAGAGAGGGAAGGAAGTGAGAGATGGGGTGAGAAAACAGGGAGGTGGTTTGAGAATCATAAGGGTCAGACTTGTTGAAGCGACATGGCCTGGCGATGTTCTGAGCACAATCTCACCTATCTTTACTATTACTAATAATAATAATAATAATAATTCTTGCATTTGCACTACTCAATCAATTGTGAATACAGAAGTGACTTTGGAATCTAAAATGGAGGAATTGAGATCTGGATTTGTAAATATTTGATCGTCAATCCAAGAAGTGTGGTCTTTGCTCCAACACGATCTTCCGAGCACGTCAGAGAGGAAGGCCAACAAGATCAACATGACACACATCAGTTGCTGGCAAGATTGGATATTTATGAATCCTTTGCAAACCCAGGTTCCAACTCCCAGATTTTAAATCCTTTTAAAAGGAGTCTGCCTTTCCTTCCCCTTTTTGGTTTTGCTTGAATGTGCTCTGCCATAATTCCAGTCAGTGACCCTGATGGTTCCTTGCATAAAGCTGTCTAGCCTGAATGCATTCAATTTAGAAACAGAAATCACGCAGTTTCATATTGTCATGTATTATTTTGTGTGCTAGCCACTAATTTGTGAGACCTTAGCTTTCCTCCAGTACTTTATTTGAACCATAACTGCTGCAATTGGTAGCTGAATGGGTAAACAGCTTCATCTCCTTTTAATTATGTTGGAAATAACAATGTATAAGACTGATTTAGAAACCACTGAGACATTTAGGTTTGAAGCAGAAATGTTGGTTACTAAAATGAATAGCTTGCTTCATCAACTCAGGAACGGTTCCACTGAAATATAGGCTTCAATGAATGAAAATTCTCTCTCTCTATCTCTCACGCGCACATACACACATCTGTTGTTTGTCTACCGGTCTCACTATCCTTATTAGTCTCTCTCTTTGAATCTCTCTTTCACTATCTGTGTCTCAGTTTTTGTTTCTCTCTTTCTAATTCTGTACTATACCTCTATCTGAATAAACAAGCTAAGGGCATTCTCTTGACAGTTCCTGGTGTAAGTGCGAGCACCATTAAATATTTTATGCCTAAATTTCAGTGTGACTTTACCTCTATCCTAGTGCAGTTAAGTGGGCATGTGGTTTTTCAGTGTGCAGAGATGTGACACTTATCTGTATTTTGTTTCTGTATTAGAATAAAAAAATGCAGTGGTTCTTTGTCAGAAACACAAAACAGCTTAGTCCACATATTACTATGACTCATTTAAGCTATAGAATTATGGTAATCAGTGTCTGAAACCAAATGTCTATTTAAATCACACAAAGGATTTCATTTGGTACAAAGGGGATTAAACTACTGTTTAACGGCTTTGAACCTTAGCTAAAATTTTATATCACTGAAGATCTAGGAATTATTTGGTACCATGTGTGAGTGTTCTCTTTACCACTGTTCACCGTACAGTGTACCTGTGTCTTGATGGGAAACTAGAGCTCAATCACAACTGGATTGCACACAATTACACACTATTATACTGCATGAAAGTTAAATATACTAATTGAATATAGAAGTAGACCATCTGGCCGATCAAGCTTATCCTGATGTTTTTTCCACATAAACCACCTAATCTGTTTCCCCTTTACTGCTCGCTTCCCATACGCTTATGTTCCTTTGTGGTAGAGAAACAATGAGATGTTCTAATCTCAGAAAAGTGGACGAGACAGTAAATAGCCAGGAAGGTTGTGTCGTAAACCCACTGGGTGTAAAATCATTTTAAGTTGATAGTCAGTAATTTTGCCTGCCCCTCCAATCAACTAATCCAAGCTTGCTGTTCATACCCCACCCTCGCCGTGCCACCATCATTCAGAACTCTGCAGCTCGTGTACTGTCCCGCACCAGGCTTCGGGACCACATCACTCCCACCCTCGCTCGCCTCCACTGGCTCCCCATCCCCCAGAGGATTGATTTCAAGATCCTCATCCTCACCTACAAGGCCATTCACGGCCTCGCTCCCTCCTACCTCTCCAACCTACTATCCCCCTACCTACCTGCCCGTACCCTCCGTTCCTCTGGCTCCGGTCTGCTCCACGTCCCCCGCCCCAACCGCCCTACTATCGGTGGTCGGGCCTTCAGCCTCTCAGCCCCGAGGCTCTGGAACTCCATCCCCCAGTGCCTTCGCCGCTTCCTCCCTTTCCTCCTTCAAGGCCGGTCTCAAAACCTTTCTCTTTGACCGTGCCTTCAGCTCCCCTCTCGCCTCTCTACCCCCTCCTCGCTCCCTCCCTTCCCTCCCCTCACCCTGACCATTTCCCCCCTCCTCTCTCCCTCCCTTCCCTCCCCTCACCCTGACCATTTCCCCCCTGCTCGGGTCATGACCCAACTGTGCAGCGCCTTGGGACGTCCTCCTGACGTGAAAGGCGCTCTATAAATGGAATCTTGTTGTTGTTGTTGTTGTTGTTGAGCCTTCAGTTCCTACACCTCTAACCTCTGGAACTCCCTTAATCCACTGCTCCGTCTCACCTCCTTTCTCTCTGTCTTTAAGTCATACCTCTTGAATGTGTGTATGGCTAGCTCCTCCTTGCCCCCCCCCCCCCCCCCCCACAACCCCCATAACTCGCTGTTCAATCCATTACCTTAGGTGAAGGGCACCATATAAATGCAAGTTGTTGTAGTGAAGAATAATCTTCCTGCCTGCCTGAGGCATAGATTATGATACCTCTCCAGTCTTAGTTTAAATTCTGGGGTTGAAGGTGAGTCTTTCAGCACTAAATGAATGACATGCTAAGGCAGTGCTTCAGAAACCAGATATGACTAGGCTGCTACTTCCTTACTGCCCTTTAGCTGCATACAGTATTAACGTGCTTGTGATTGCTGGATACGTTTTGAATGGTATGTGTTTTAACAACTGCTTATTGGAGATAAGCAACATCAGATGGAAGAAAAACTGCAGTTCTGCATGGTAAGTAATTCCCATGCAATTGATCTGCATTTTCTCTCCTGCTTCCCCCCCGCCACCCATCCTCTTTCTCTCTTCATCCATAATGGCATCTGTGGAGTGAAAAATTCAAAGATAAATTTGCCAACTGTTCATAGCTGTAACATAACATGCAGTACATAATGTTCATTTTCTTTCATTGCTGGTTATTAATTCCAAGCAGATTAGTTTATATCCACAAAAAATATATTTGAAAAAGAAGGAACCCTGGTTCTTTCTATAAGAATAGATCTTTAACGAAAGCCAGTCATGTATTGCTGAGCATTCTCCAGGACCGTAATGTATGGTTGATTGTAGTAGTGTTGCTACATGAAAGAATCTTTAATGACACTGAATAGAAGCTGCCTGAATGGATCAAACAGCAAGTGGCTGATATTGTCTACTTTCCTCTTTACCAAGTTCTAGCTGTTAGACTGTATGGTTACAGAGCCTACTATAGTACACATTGTGTGTGTATTGGGTCCAGGGGCTGACCCCTGGATGGAGGACAAACAAATGATGAAATAGTTTGTGCAGCTAACTGAAGCCATGGGCACACAGTGAAAAGAGCGGTGTGCCGAATTATTTGTTCCATAAGTAAATATAATTTCATAATCCAAGGATCAACAAGTAACCAGGTTGTGCAATTTGTGCAAATAAGAATTGCTCAGTACAGGTCCATTTCCTTACGTTTGCTGATTTTGTACCACAAGCACAAGCAACTTGACACCTCAGGTAGGTATAGAATTGATGAAAAATGACCTTTATGCTGCTTTTATATTGTTGATTCTGTGGCACAGACGCTAGTGCCAAAGTGGATGCACTGACAGTTCAACAGTTTATTGTGAGTACACACCACCTTTTCATTCATTCCCTCCTCATGTCCAAAGGAGGAGAGGGAACATGTGACATGTAACATGTGACATTATTGTGCAAATAGAGTGACAACAGACACATTGCACACACACAAAAGCTTTAAAAACGCATTTTGTGCAATCATCGCTGGCAAAATAATAGCAGAGATCAGGCAATGGGTTGAATGTTTTCATTTTAATCCCAGTCTTTTTCCAGGTTCCGTTTGACAAGGAAAATAAACTTCAAAAAGCTTGCACATGTGTGATGCATCTTGTCATCATCTCACCACACACACAATGTGGAGAGTATGTAATAATAATAAAATAATAATCCTTGCATTTGATATAACGTTTTTCACATCTTCTAGACGTCTCAAAGGGCTTCACATATTATATTGCAAAGTGAATTGACTGTATATTTGTGGGCGAAATGTTTGGAAAGTCGCTATTTCCCATTGTTCTGATGCCATTCTGGCTTTTCATTTTGGAGATTAAAGCAACTCTCTGCAGAAACAGCAGCCCATCCAACTCTGAGAAGGGTCTCAGGTCATTCATCATCATTAAATTTGGTGGGTTTACATTCTGGGTTTTTAGCAGAGTCGAGATTGGTGGTGTTAAAATCGCATAAGTATTACAGCACAAAATACACCTTGTCTGAAACTTTGGGTAATGAAACAAGTTCTTCAGCTCTGGAAAAGGAAACCTTTCTTTGATTTGCATTTGCCCCTAGCACTGATGTAGATAGAAGTATTGAGGCAATTTGCTGCTTAACTGTGGGGGACATGTCTGTTTTCTCGCCTAATTTCCACTGCAAAGTGTGACAAATTTATGAGTGTTTGGGTAAATCTGGGATTGTGATAATTGTATTTCACTGTGTTGCCCTTTTTTTCTCTGGGTTTAAAAATTCTCCTCTTGTTGATTGCATTCTTTCTGCTTTATTCCCTCTGCTTTCCTGGACTCAGAGAGAGGTAATACATCTTTCTTTCTTATTGTAGCTTGTGTTTTGTTGCAGTTGCTGCCCAAAGTGTAAATAGCTGAGCATTTACTTGTGGTTAAGAAATTGATTTCTTTTAAGAACCGTCTTTTCCCAGACTGCTTTTCGCATTTGCTAGCTATATTTAGCAGCTGGATCTGCCTTCAGGACAGCTCATTATTTAGGTCCCTTGTTAAAGATGATGTGTGGTGTACAGCTCCCTACCCAATCTGCCTTGAAGCAAACTGCACAGTTAGTACAGGTGATCCACCGGCTCATGCTGTAGCCGGAAATCCTGTTTATCTCCCGATGTACTACACATTGTTTTGCGTTGATAGTTTCAAAGTTGCATAACTTAACTAATTATTTTATGTCCAGTATCGCAGCTAAGATTCACTCCTGAAAAAAAATCATAAATATTAAAAAGGTAAACATTAAGTGGAATATTACCACTTTATGTTTGTGTACGCCTACAATTACACACTCACTACACTTTATAGTAAATCCTCTGAAGCGCTTTGAGACATCCTTCAGATATGCAAGGCTCTATAGACTTATTATTATATCACATGTAAAGATTATTATTTTATTTAAATTAGTTTTCAAATCCAATGGAATTTTTTAATGGTTTATGTGTATTGCAGTGAAGATCTGATTGTAATCATTGCTGATATAGAAAATAATGTTATTTTAGATGCTATAGTGTATAATAATATAATAATTATTATTTCAAATGTGAAGCTATAAGAAGTAGCTTCCCATTTGAAATAATTCCTTTTCAACAATAATCCTTGCATTGGCATAGCATCTTTGTCAAGAGAACGTCTCAAAGCACTTCACAGGTTATATTGTTATAGTGTATTGTCTGTGCATTTTGTAGAGCCAGTTTGTGCTCAGCAGCCATTAAGTGAATGACCAATTTTATTTAGGGCGAGTGTTGGCCAGGAAGTTTAAGTGTCATGGGATGTTTAATGACCACCTGAATAGGCAGACAGAACCTTGGTTTATCTCATCGGAAGATGTGACGCATCCAACAATGCAACAAACCCTCAATGTTGCATTGGAGTGTCAGCCTGAACTAGATACGTTCAGAGCCCTTACACTGGGTTTTGAACCCCGGATCTTAGAAGGTTATGCTGATAGGCTTAGTTGAGGAAGGGCAGGAGGAGGCTCATGTGGAGCATAACGGCAGCATAGACCAGTTGGGCCAAATGGCCTGTTTCTGTGCTATGTAATTCTTCTCACTCAACAATGAGTGCTACCAACTGAGCCAACAAACTTATGTTTAAGTCACGTATGTTCATTACCAGGTATAGGTTTTGTAAGATCAGACATAAGATCTAAATATGAACTGGCAGTACATTACTAGGAGTGCTGTAACCATAAGAGTTTTAAAATTGTAGTTTGGGATTTTATTTTATGGAATAAATGCATTCCCTTAGGATAAGTAAACCTCTAATGTATCAGTACAAGACACCCTTGGGAATTCTTCTTCATGCCAAGTAAATCTTGTCAGAATAAATGTAACCTAACGTTGAGGTGTATATGGTTGTATTCACATACAGCTCCACACCTCTATCCCAATGATGCAAACTGCTATTCACTGCTACGTTAAGCAAAGGGAAGCTATTTTTACCGCCAAAAAAATAAATTATAGATTTATAGAAATTTACAGCACAGAAGAACATAAACCTCAAATATGTCTCTGACCTTGTAGGTTTCTTTACTCAATCCATTGTCCTCTTGATCTGTTCCCTGTTAGTTCCCTGGTATCCTCTTACACTTTTCTACAACCTTTGACCCCTTTCCCATCAAATCTCTTCGTGGATATTGTAATATAATATTATGATTCAGAATCTGGTGGACAATGTTTGGAACTGGGTTTTGTTAAGTTATGTTTTCCAGACAGCATCAGTTTCTTCATTCGTTTCTTCGTTGGGAAGACCTTCCGACGTGAAAGGGCCTATATGAACATAATTATGTTGTTGTCACTAATGTCTTCCGTTCTAATGAGCTGACACAGAACACCTTGTTTTCTAAACCTATATATTCAAAGAACAACACGACAATGCCCAGATCAGGACTGTGTTTAAAATGATAAACATGTAGTATATTCCTAAATTTAAATAGGGCTTCATGGGAACCAAATAATGGTCTCCCCCACCCCCCAACACACACATACTCTCTGAGAGTGGGGCTCAAAGATACATTTTACCATCTCCAGGATGAGAAGAACTTTCACGGACCCAATAAGTACATCATCATGGAGGAGCTGCTTACTCAACACGGTGGGAACAGTTGATCCCAGAAACTCAATCATCTTTGTAAACTTAGGGAAAAGCTCAACCACAGATTAATAACTGAGATAAGCGTGTATTGGGAGGTGCACTGAACATTTATGTGAAGTGACTGTGTATTTATAGGCAAACACAACACTCAATTTGCACACATCAATGTCTAAAACAGCCATAAAGTGAGAGACCAATTTTATTTGTGGGATTGTCAGCTAGAACTCTAGGAGAAATGGCCTTCTCTTTTCGAATAGATCATGGGATGTTTAAGGTCCAGCTGAACAAGCAGACAGGACCTTGGTTTAATGTCTTATTCAAAGGGCGGCGTCTCCAATAACTGAAGAGCACCCTCCCTCTGCCATCAGTGCATCAGAGTATCAACCTAGAGTGTGAATCAATTATCAGAACATCTTAAGTCTATAAGTTATCATTTAAACATTTACATTATGTTCAGTTTTATTGAAACAGTGGATTTTCAAAAATATATAAATGCTTTTTTAAAATGCATTACCTGAAAACTTTTCCACTTATAGAACCCAACCCCAGCAAACAATCCTTGTTTGCAGTAGCGGAGGAGAAACAATAGGCATTAACTAATCTTTTTCAAAAAATAATTATATGTATTTTTAAAAATCCACTGTGTTTAACTTAAGCTGTTCTGTCCTCTTAGCCACATCTTTGACAAGGAATGAAGTTTGTGGGTAAAAATAATTACCAGGATACTGACGGGATTAATGTGAAGGAAACAGTGAAAGGACTTTCTCTCAGTTAGATGTGGTATTGAATATCTGTAACTGAGGCTTGATGGTATAAATACAGAAACATCACATAAATTGCACTGAGTAGCAGAATGCATGCAATCATTGTGTGCTACATATCCCTTGTGTATAGAATGGGTCAGGAAAAATATTCAATTAACAGTAATAGCTTAGAACAGTAAACCTGATAGCTTTTAGCTGCTGTTAAAACAGCGTATGATCCAGCATAAATCAGTTGATCATTGCAGGAGCCAGAAGTCATTTATTTGTGTAGAATGGAAGAGTAGTTCCCAAATAATTAGTTAATAGACTGAATCTCTGGTGCTTTCAGTTCAATGCAAACTCGATACTGAACATACAATAATGGGCATTCATTAGTGGGTAAACCTGTACACTCCCATGTTGGTATGTGATCAAAAAAGGCTTACAGAAACTCTGAACTAATACATTATTATTGAACCAGTTCTGTAACTTATTGAACATAGGAATATTAGGAACATAGGAATTGTTAGACGAAAAAAGACCAAGGTCCATCAAGTCTGCATTCTACCATCCTGGTAGTCGCTTGCTACAAAAATGGAGATGTTGATAACAATTAATCCCTTATGGATCAGACTACCAACACAGTGGAATGCTTTGGGAACCTTAGACCTTAGTTCTTTCAAACATACCTCACTTACTATATTTCATGTCTCAAATTACTCATATACTGTATCCCCAAATATTATTTTCTAAAAGAAATCTATCTAATTTGCATTTGAATTAATTGTTAAATAGTCTCAGGACTTTGCTTGGTACCAAGTGTGGTTTGTAGGCACAGCATTCACTGAAAATAAAAATACTTTGCCAAACAATGATCATAGCCAAGAATGCCTGTTGTGGTGTATTGATGGTGTGGATCTGGTATCTAGCCTACAATTTATATCACTGGACAGTAACAATTGATAAGTAACTCTTCCCAATTGTTGCCTTAAAGTTAAACCAGTCAGAGTTTTTGGTGTTTAGAAATCTGAAGGAAAGGTGCAAACATGATTCATAGAACTTGCATTTCATTTTTTTATATACTGTATAAAAATTAATGACTTAATGATTTTCACTTAAATGTGCATGCTCCCCAGTCTGTAGGGTCCCTTTAATTGGCACACAATAAGCATACCTTTGAAAGCATCATATGACTTTACCAGAGGCTCCTTTGGTGACATTAGCAGCAACGACAGGCCTGCAGTTTCAACCAACAGCAACTTGCACTTATATAGTCTTCCACATAGAGTAACATCTCAAAGTGAATTACATGAACAGTTTCAGACACTCAGCAAGTTGGAACGAAAAGGAGGGTAAGGAGAAAGTGATTGAACGCAAGGGTTAAGAGGTAGGTTTTTAGAAGAGTTTTGAAAGCAGGTTAGAGAGGTGAATTCTAAACCATGGGAAACCTCCACCTCTGTGTTTTCAGAGCAGACAGCTCACACATCGGGAATTCATATGTCCTGTTCCCACTATAAAAATGCCACAGAATGAAAAAGGTTGTCGGTTATGCTCTAGAAACCTAGTACCCAGGTGACAATGGCTAACGACTGTTACTAAATTTAACATATCGCACTGCTTCAACTTTGATATGAAGAGTGCATAGCTGGGCAGTAAATTTACTATTCACCTTACATCTCCCTGCCTTCAAAATCTATAAATAATGGGTCTCTACAACCATGCCTTGGATCAATATCTTTAAACCTGTCAATGCGCTGCATGGTGTGCACCAACAGCAGTTTGTTTTTATACAGTGCTTTTAATTTCAGGAAGATGTCTCAAATGATTCACACAAGTAAGCCACTGGTAGCTGGCCAAGGAGTGTCCATGTTGTTATGATTGTAGGAAGTTTCAGAGGTAGGATGGGGCGAGGACATGGAGGGATTTGAACATGAGGTTGAGGATCTCAAATGAATCCGGTGGGGGATGGGGAGCCTGTGGAGAGGAGTGAGGATTGTGGTGATGGGTTCATTGAGCCTGATGGAGGACAGGAGACAGGCTGTAGATTCCTGGATGGCCTGCTGCTCGTGTGATTTGAGCTGTTCCTGTATGTGAATCACTGTATAAATGTGAGTTGTTATCAATGATCTGGGCAGTGTGAAAGTCATTATTATTGACCAACAGACTCGCACAGCAGCTGCGACCTGTATATTTACTTGCCAATGAGAATATCCCCTCCACATCCTCTTGTTTCTGATCACACATACACACTCCTGCTTGCTTTCTGTACTGCTCCAAACCACAGCAGAGAAGTCTACTACATGTTCCAATTTCACATAGGTGGTAGAACGGCTGGAATTCCTGTGAATGTCACACTCACCACAAAGCCTCCAGTTTTATGCCTCTGTAGTTATGAAACCGATGTTTGCCAGCTTCCATATAATAAATAATCCTTGCAATTGAAATAGCGCTTTTCACGTCTTCTAGGCGTCTCAAAGCGCTTCACAGAATATACTGTAAAGTGAAGTGACTGTATATTTGTGGGCGAAACGTGGCAGCCAATTGTGCACAGCAGTGTCCCACAACAGTCATGGATTAAGTGACCACATTTTTTTTGAGGGATTATTATTCCCGGAAAAGCGATCCGCCAATCGACTCCACAAGATTGTGGTGCTGTTCAGAGTTCTTTTGCCAATTCAGCTACATTTGGTTAACCAGTTTTTGTTATTAACTTTACATAAAAATGATGTTCAGCTGGAAGTTTGATAGATGGTATCTTGCTGACGTTTGCAGTGATCTCCAATTTTCTTGAGAAGGGGCAAACTGATTGAGGAAAATCTCATCACAAGAGCTTTCTAACAATCAACCTGTGGTGTAACAGCAGAAGGGTTCATAGGACATGTTCTGCAAGAATAAAAAAAGTAGTTTATCTTGTACATCTGCTCCTGAATCCTTGCATTAAAGCCATAAAGAAAATTCATAATCTTCTACACAGTCATATTATTAGCATCAGAATGCCATGTTACAAATCCCTTTTCAAGTTGTCACACGAGGTGGAATCTGAAGGAATATTAGACCTGTAACCTGTGACGTGAATTATTACAGGAGGCAAAAAAAGTGAGCGACCCGAAAAATTAACTATTGCAATAACGACAATGGAGCGTGTTTTGAGTGTATTTTGCTGTGTAGTGTGTGAAGGTGCTTCAATCTTTATTTTATGTGTAGTGTGTGGAATTGAATCAATTTATATTGTGCTTCCAAGTCACTTGTCATCCTGACTTCGATATATATCTCCAGCCCTTCATCTACAATCTCAGAACTCCTCCTCAACACCATGTGGGATCACCATCATCCCAGCACTGCAGTATTTAAAGGGAAAACCCATCACCACCACCAGGATAACTAGGGATAGTCAATAAATGTTAGCCCAGACAGCTTCACTCTTTCCTCTCCCTCACGCCCCACCTCAATATCCCGAGATGAATAAAAACAAATATTAATTTATCATCCGGCAATGAGAGAGGTTGCACCTTAATAATAAATAATAATCCTTGCATTTGATATAGCGCCTTATCATGTCTTCTAGATGTCTCAAAGATCTTCACAGAATATACTGTAAAGTGAATTGATTTGATGCAAAAGCCTGTGACCGGTCTTCTTGTTTAAAAATGCACAACGCCATCCTGCGAATTGCATAAAAATGCATTGTGTGTCACTTGTGTATATGATACTGGCCGATGTTGTGCCTGCCTCCCTTTTCTGCCTCCCGAAACTGAAAAATGGTTCAAGGAATACTTTAAGCCATCAATTGCCTTTCAACCAACATATCTGTGAGCTTTAGAACATGGTAATCCAATTAAGATATTCAACGGCTCTCTGAATGCAAGAGCCCATCTTGAGTTTGTTGGGAACCTGCTTCCTGAAATTGAATTACTGATTTCTAATTTGGTTACCTTTAGTTGCTGGTTTAATCTGTTAATTTTTTCCCCCCAAAATAAATCAATAAATCCTCCCTCTACCCTTTGTGGAGTCCTGTAGCTCAGTGGTTAGAGCACTCGCTTTGCAAGTGAGAGACCTGAGTTCAATTCCAGGCAGAGGGCGAAACCTTGGGCAAGATTCCTTACTCCACACAGAGCCTAATAATAATCCTCCAAAACCAAAAACAATAATAAATTGGTCATTTTCAATCCACGACTGTTTGTGGGACATTGCTGTGCGCAATTGGCTGCCGCGTTCGCCCACAAATATACAGTCAATTCACTTTACAGTGTGTTCTGTGAAGCGCTTTGGGACGTCCTCCCGACGTGAAAAGCGCTATATCAAATGCAAGGATTATTATTATTTGATTCCAATGCACAAATCATCTGTTAAATGATACTTTACTCATTAATGCATCAATGCATGGCACTCGTTTAAGATCAATCCTGATCTTCTAGTGAAAATGGCACCAAAGATGGATTGGAAAATAATTGCAGGGACGTGGACTAACTAATGGCTTGTGTTCTTGTTTATGCAGGGATTTTGCCTATGTTGCAAGAGATAAAGATACACGAATCCTAAAATGTCATGTGTTCCGGTGTGATACACCAGCGAAAGCCATCGCAACCAGTCTTCACGAAATCTGTTCCAAGGTGAGAGGAAGGGTACAATGTACTTTAGTTGCTAGCTACTGATGAATAATAGCCTGATGCTTCGAGCATAACTGAGCTCGTAAAATATTCTCAGCCTTTTTCAGTACAAGGATTCTACCTATTTTTCATCACAACCTTTGGGGAGAAATCCCCACTGGTCTAGATTTATTCTTATTTTCTTAGCATGAAGAATTTAGCAAATTGCTGAATTTGGTCTTAGCTTTAAACTCCCTGAATCTAAAATTTAAATAATTGTACAGTGCAGCTCCGTTGTAACGTATGTCGTTATAGTGCAAATTTGGATGTAACACAGTGGCAGTGTCGATCCCATTACTGGACATGCACTCAGCCAGCCCATTTGTTCCTTGTACACCAGCCAGTTTATGTGTTAAAGTGACCAACTTCTGGGGGATCTTTATTGTATTAGACTTGATATTTTCACTGTTGCTGCCTGTGTAAACTGTCATTCAAGTACCTGAAATCTTAATGTTTGCTGCAATTCTGTATGTTAATGTATTGCTCATCATTTCTGGGTTCAAAATTAAGACTGTACATTAAGAATTTGCCGATTTCTATGTGCTCTACAATGCTAAGAAAATAGATTGAGTCTAGATCCAGGTAGAATTCCTACCCCTATGTGTGTCTGCTGCTTTTATCTGCACTGTAACTGTCACAGACTGATCTTTTGCTGGGTTGAGGCATTGAGCTCTGAAAAGAACCCTCCTGGGAAGGCTAGGTGTGTGGCACCCAAAGTACACTCTTAACTTTATGAATGTTTCAGGGAAAAAGTTGTATCCAAAGGAGGAACAAAGGAGGTAAGCAATGCCATCTGAAACATCGCACTTTCCACATTGGCTGAATGGTTTCATCTGTCTTCATTAAAAAGGAGATGGATGTTTTAGAGATCAATAGATTCATGTCATTAGGTGTGGGGCAATAATTCAATAACATGAATGGTCTAGGGCTCAAGTATTTCAGACAAACTCTCGTAATTCAAGAATATCTCATAACACTTGACATTAGAAAATGATTTCATTCATGTCAGTGTTTCTATAATTTTATATTAACTTGTTCAACACAATCACATCAATCAGCTCTTAACGTCTCTTCTGCTGAAATGATCATTCATGACAACCTCAGTACTCAGCATGCACACAATGCTCAACACTGATATGCTTCATGACTTGACCATGTCTTTAAATCTTATGCACTTCTTCAGTTTAATTACCTGACCAGTGCTATTTGAACAATTCTGTTGCACACAGCCTTGGTTACAATTGAGTCAATGCCTCTTGTCAGGGTTGAAGAATGTTATTTGTGTTGGTTTACGGCTCTAGAAATGGGCTTCAAAAATGAATGCTGTAATTAGGTCTCCTATATCTGTCAACTCGCATTAGGAAAAATGTGGGCTTCCGACACTATTATGATAGTAATAATAATAACTGCTTGTTATATAATAACACTTGTATTTGATTATTGGCTTATCATGCCATATGAAAGAGTGGGATGATGATCTGAAAATAAATAATAAAATGGTGCAGAATGTAGTGAAACACAGCAGCAGCAATGTCTCACAAAGTATTAAAATTGAAGAAAGAGAAAACAATTTTGAATATGCCAGGAACAATTATATAAGAACAATTTGCTTATTTAGTGCCTGTCACATTAGGAGAAGGTCTCAAAGCACCTTACATAGGCTGAGCGGGAACGGGGGTGGGGGGGGGTGGGTATTCTTAACAGTTATGAATGTTTAAGAGAAAAAGTTGTATCTGAAGGAGGAAGAAAAGAAGGCAAACAGTGCCATCTGAAACATTACACTCTCCCCATTGGCTGAATGGTATAAAACTGTCTTCATTAGCAAGGAGAGTTTTATCCATGTCTATGTATCAATTATGTAGGTCTTCAGCAGCTATTTGAGAACATAGAGGGAAAGGATGGGTAGGAGGCTTTGGAGAGAGAGTTATGAAAGAATAGTTTGATTCTAAAGTAAATGATGGCAACATGTAAATTTGTAGACCAAACAGTGCTAATATGATTGACAGTAAAAATAATTCATTTCCCTGCTCTGTGAGTGTTCGTCCTTATTATTTGCAAGTGGAATTGTTCTCAGATGCATTCAATGTAAAACCCAATGCGCAAATATTGCCTTAAAGATCTGTTTGAATGAGAAATTAGCCCCACACTTCAGGTCAATATTTTTGCTTATTTTTGCAGTATTAAGTAATATAGTCCTTGCAATACCTTCCTTCTCGTCTGTGCTGTGTCTGCAAGGAAGCTGAACAAATTATAAATACTGTTTCTGGTCTGTATGGGAATATGCTTTTTTTTTGCGTTGCTATCGTGATCAAAAATTAGAAACAAGACAGTGCCTGAAAGGGAAGGATAGTTAACGTTTCAGAGGCTGAACTCTTCTGACTTGGCTCCGCACAGCTTATCTGTACTGGCCCTGTCAAATTCAAAGCACTTACGTACTGAGGAAATGCCTGCACTTTCAAGTCTTAAATGCTCAGCCTTGCATCGATGTTGACCTGACTTGGGTTTCCTGATGTCTCTCCCAAAGAGTTACCATTTACTCCAACCTTGAAAGATCGAAGGTTGAATCAAACTCAAAACGTGTTGGTTTCAAGTCAGCTGACAGGCAGGGCTCCCTGTCTGAAGCTAAAACTCAAGAGGTTAATCTACCTTTTTCTTTCAGATGCTAGTCATCCCAGCATTTCCTGTTTTAATTAATTTTTTCAGTGTTTACAGCTTTTTATTTCATCATTCTTGGGTCTATGACTACTGCTTAGTATTTTGCAGCAAAAATAATTTTGTGGCAAAGTGGAATTTATCAACCTTCTTTCATACAATTTTACATCGCTTTCACTGAAATTTTAGGATATTTTCCAGAGAGGCTTCGGTCAGTGCAAAGTTCCATTACAATACACATTAACTTATTGTTGTAACTATGAGATGTTACATCTGGGTTCCCACACCAACCTGTCCGCTCCCTCTGCTCAGTGGACTCTGGCCTGCCCTCCCCCTTTGGAACTCCATCCCATCGTCCCTTCGCCTCGCCTCCTCCCTTGCTTCCTTCAAGGCCCGTTTGAAGACCCTCCTCTTCGACTGCACCTTTGGACACACTCCTACCCCTTCCCTCCCTGCCCTCCACCTCTCCTGATCCCAAACCCCAAATACGGGTGCAACTCCTTGACTGTCCAGCGCCTCGGGACATCGTCCTGACCTGAAAGGAGTTATACAAATGTAATTTGTTGTTGGTACTTACTGGAAGTCAAAGTGAGTTTGTTGACATTTTCTCTGAGCGGCCATTTACAGATTCTAAGACTCACAAAGAAAGCAGTTACTGTGATGTCCTAGAAGCTGTCCTTTGTGCCAAGTGCTGGTGAACTTCCTCTTTTGTAGTTCTTAAAGTTTGGGGGTGGAGAGTATTGCAATAAAAAAAAATCTTTTCAGGAATGTTGGTTTTGGACACCAGATAATCAAGCTCACAACAACAGTTTAATTCAATTATTCTTTACTATGGACAGTGCAAAGCTACAGAAAAGACAAAGTTACCTAATCTGGAGAACAGATGCATAGTGGGTTCTGTGCTTTCTTCCCAGGTCTGTTCTAAATACAACAGTTACTTTCAGCTACATTTAGACCCAACTTGTTTACTACATTTGTAAATTAGCCTTTCTTCAATGTTAGCTATTATACTATAGCTGCTGGGTGACCTAGTTATCACAGATACCTGTTCTTTGTCTTACATCTCACATAACAAAGGTCGTCTGTTAGCGCATCCGTTTTTCTTCATAACCATGCTAGACACACCAAGGACATTGGATAAGGAAAAGACCTTCCTCATTAACATTGCCTAGCAATTTACAAAAGTTATTAGCAAAATTTCACTTAAAGGTACATCAGTACAAGTGTTCAGTAATTTTCCATTATAGACAACATGCACAGCAGTACATCAGCATAATAGTCAATTTAAGAGTTTCATCTGTCTAACAGGAAGAAACATTTGAATTTTCTCCATCATGTTGCCAAGTTCTGGAATGATAAATCACTGGTTTAAAAAGAGCCTCAGTAATGTTTACATGTAAAATAGGAATAAAACATTTTGAATTCTGCTCAATTAACAAAAGCGGCTGGTGAAATTTCTGACCCATATGTTCCTCTACAAGATTACTGAAAAGGGAAGAAATAGTATTATGTGAAGGACATTTTTCATCTTGTGTTAATTATCTTGCTTACACTTTTGGTGTTGCTCTTTTTCCATCTTTGGGCATCTCACTTGGGTATTAAGAGCAATGTCAGTACATAAAGGTTGAGCACTGCCAACAAAACACTTTTGCTTTGAAGCAAAGAGCAAGAGGCATTGAGCTACCTAACAGACAGAATACTATTTGATATTGGTGTACTGTAAGTATTCAAAGATTTATTGTTCATACTGCATTGGACAGGTTGTCTGATCTTGATCTGTCTCACAACAAGCCCCATTCAGCTTGGGTATCAGGACCCATAAATATAAAGCAATATCTTTATTGTGTTTCAACATTTGAATAATAATCACATTATTATTCAATTTCTGCAGATTATGGCGGAACGGAGGACTGCCAAAGCTGTGGCTTGCAGCGTCTCCCAGGAGCGAGTCAGTGTAAACCTTGAGGTTCCTCTGCAAGGTAATGCTTCGATAACATCAGCTGGATGCACAATGTGTTGAGAATTTTAAAAATAAACCTCTTTGAGGCCGCTCATTTTGACATGTCTTAAATTTATATATCCCATGACGAAAGTAAAGCAAATGAAAATGAGACATAAGTGAGACACCTTCAGTTTGTCTATAGTTTTCAATTGCTGTGATCATATTTTATACAATTGAGGCCCCAAATTGTGTAAAGTTCTAAAATTCAATCTTAATTTACAATCTGGTATTTTTAAGAACTTCAGAAAACCTGCTTTCAAGCTAAATATACAGCCAATCCACTTTACAGGATATCCTGTGAAGCATTTTGAGACGTCTCAACAACCTGATAAGGCAATATATCAAATTAAAGGATTATCAATATATAAGATTTAAGAATTTTCCACAATTCTGCATGCTCTTAGTTTTTAAGACAAAACAGTCTTGTAGCCTAAATTTAGATGAAATGTTGTCCCTCAAAGCTTTAATATCAAGTATTGCATAACAATGCATCGTATCAGTAGTGTTAGAATCTCAGTCTGACACCATCTACTTTCAGGATAAGTGAGTGTTGTTTCCATGTTCAGCCACCACTTTGAAAATCCTCCTGAGAAAGATGGACTTCACAGGTCCATCAACCCTAAATTGGATATGAGAGTAATGGTTAAGAAGCTAGGATGAGATTGTAGCTCCATACCTGATTTATAAATACAGAAGAGTAGCTTTAACATGTGAGGTCAGTGTAGCATTAGTTAGTGCTTCAGTTGTGTGGCTCGCCACAACTGCATGTTCTTCTTTATTAATTTGTCCTGCACAGACAGCAGGTTACTGTCACCTCCTCACAGAAAGGCCCACAGGAACATCTCCTTTACAAGCTTCAATCACAACAGCCACATGATTCTTTCCCTCCACCCGGCTCCATTTCCAAGCCTATACTGTGTATGAACCACCACTCAACACCACATTTTGTTCTTCCTCCTCCATTTGCTGGCTGTCACAGTGTTTCTTTCACAGTCAGAAAAGTTCTCAAATTGATTATTTTAGCACAGATTCCCCAGTCTCGAGTGTGTTTCAAACCACTATGACCCAGTTTCCAATTGTCACCTTGTGTCTTTTGTTGAGTTAATGAATGTTTGACTTCAGCCCACACCTGCAATGGGCTTCAGTTTCTTATACTCACCTCCAGAAACAGCAGCACTGCCTTCTTTAGCTATCATTGACACTGTATCACAGTGGACATTTTCCAGTTTAGAAATTGACTTGTTTTCCAACTTTAGTTGGGCTTGTCACGGGCTTGTCACGGGCTTGGAAGTTCTCCCTGGCTCCAAATGTTGCTATATCTTCTACTCAGGGCTGTTCATTGTCCTTGGTGTGGCACGTTTCAGAATGGTGGCCACTCAGTTGGCTCACGTCTCGGAAGCACTCCGAGATGCCGTGCGGCATGAAGGGCGCTATATAAATGCAAGTTGTTGTTGAGATGCATCTTGCTTGATAGAAGTAAGGCCACACTCTTATCTCGGTCCTCATTTACCTGTGGTGTTAACCATAGTTAACTATAGTCTCAGATCTCTTTTTTATGTGGGGTGAACTAGATTGACTGATGACAGGATATGAAAGTCAAATCAGGTTTACATCTTAAAATTAAGAATGAATTTCTAAAGTTGTCACTGCACTTAAATATTGCAGGATGTCAAAGTGAAGTTGTACAGTCAAATATTTAAGTGCGTATTTTCATCAACTGCATCGACTGCCTTTCACAGAGTGATGGTTGCAATAATAAAATACAGCTTCACGGCTCGATGTGGCTTCCAGTTCATTCAGATGTGGCCAGAAGTAGAATTAAAAGGATTTTTTAAAAACAAAAGCACTGGTGTGGCTTTTGAGAAACATGTCGGGAGTCCACGTAATTGACACAAATTATTCCACAGACCCTTAGTGAGTACTCGATAGTTTCAATATTCCTGGTGCATTCTTAGTTAATGATGATATTAATTATCATTAATAATAATAATAATGGATGATCAATGGTTCGAAAAATATTGATTGAAAAACACAAAATCTATTGACTGTTATGTCATGGCCTACATGATATAAAAGCTGATGTCCAATGTATTATAATAATTTAAAAAAACTTACATTTGATTTAGCACCTTTTCGGGTTGAGAGGACATATCAAATCACCTCACAGGGTATACTGCAAAGTGTAGTAACTGTGTATTTTATAGACAAACACATTTTATAGACAAGCCAGTTTGCAGACAGCATCTCCCACAATGAAGTGTCCTTACATGAAGTGAATCACTAATTTTATCCAGTTGACCAGGCCTCTCATTTCTTTTCAAATAGTGCTATGGGATCTTTAATGTCCATCTGAACAGGCAGTGGGACCTTGGTTTAACATCTCATCTGAAGGACACACCTCCAAAAATTCAGCACACCCCTAGCACTGTCAGGAGTCAACTTCTTTGACACCAATGTGTCAGCCTTGACTATATGAGTTCAAATTTCCAATGTGGGCAGGAATAAACAATCAGCTGAATGCAACCAACTGAGGCAGGGTGACATCTGAATTTTATCATCAAACGACATCCAGAAATGTAGTTCCAGCTCTACGGGTGTCTTCAATTTAGTTATATGATCCAAGGTGTTTAAGCTAATAAAAGGGTTTGAGGGAATTAATCACGACAAACTTTCTGCTGGGAGGGAACTCAAGGACAAGACAGCGCAAATCAACATTGTGATTTGGGGAGTTAGAGAGGTTCAGAAGTGGTTTTAGAGCAGACTTGGACAAGAACATGCAGAGGAGGAATATTGGAGGGTATAGGGAAAGAGCAGAGAATTGGGATTAGGGTGGGTGGCTTTTTGGAAGTGCAAACACTGACACAAAATAATGAGTCAAATGGCCTCCTACTATATTATTCATTTCTATGATTCTGTTGAGTTGATATCCCTAATTGTAATATGATGGTTATTGTTAACATATTGTTCAAAGTTTGCAGCGCAGTAAAGTTAATTTTGACGTGTCTTAATTTTTCTTTCATGCTATGCAGTAGATTTCCCAACACCAAAGACGGAACTGGTACAAAAGTTTCATGTTCAGTACCTGGGCATGTTACCTGTGGCCAAGCCACTAGGTAAGTTGTCTCCTTGATGCCTTGGGTGGACAGAGTACTAGTTACATTGCCTATTTGACTTCATATTGCTGTTGCCATTACTCAGAATAAGAACAAGTTAATGCAATAATAATTTGGTATAATAATGTGCCATAAAGGGAAAGAAAACCAAATGAGATAAAAGTAAGAGAATGTTGCCCGCTAATTCTTCCATTTTACTTGATCTGTAGGTATAGAAATACTGAACGGGGCAATAGACAGTTTACTGGCCACAACTAACAAAGCAGACTGGCTAACCGTCATCATGAACGTTGCTGATGCCACTGTTACAGTGATAAGACAGAAGGTAAGTGGTAACATTTTTGTCTGTGTTTGTATGTCCTCTTTTTCACTGGGTTCCCTTCGTCTCCTGGGGTCTTGTTCTGTCAGCAGCTGAGAGGAAGGAAGGAAGGAGGCTGAAGTCTCCATCACCTCCGCTTCAAGCTGATTGCCAGAGCAGAGCACGTGAGGAAGGACCAGGGAGGGCTCCCCCTGGTGGAGAAGGAAAAGGATGCCTTACTTCCCTCCACCCACCACCTCCTGAGATCACTGCTCCTGACAGTGGTCTTGACAGCTGTGCTGTGTTGGCTCTGAAGTGTGTGAATTGCAACCTGCATTGGCTCAGGATTCACTCAGGATTTGTACCTTTCGTTGGATTATAAGAACTCCGACAGAACCAGACAACTGGTGAGTCAGTGCATAGTTCCCATCGGTCAGTGTGACTCACATTTGGATATCAGCAAACAATATATATTCAGCCTGACACTCTCCATGTATCAGACTTTAGGGTGTGAGATTGAGCCTGTACCCTCACGTTGCTATAGGCTGTGCAAGAGGGCCTTTTAGTTTGTTGTGGTTTCTGAAATCAAACTTGATCAAATGTATTTGTTTGTCAAATTTGACTGTAGTGGCCTCAGGACAGTGTCCAGACATTACCACTGAGATGATGTTAATGCAACCTAAAGCCATGAGACGTTGACAACACTGAATTAGAAACTGAGCTACCCCTCACCACCTAACAGGTGATGTCAATCCTGGTGCTGCAGCAGTCACTACACTTCAAATTACCTCATTGTGTGAACTGCTTTAGGAAGTGACACCTTGATACAGTAAATGAAATGAAAGTGCTATTTTACAGACCACTTTTTTTGAATGCTTGTTTGTTTCCCTTTATAGTAAGTTGTATTGTAGAGCATTGTTTGTACTTTCAATAGTGCAGCTTTGTGGTTTGGGCTGGTTGAACTACAGCAGTATTCCAAAGGTCCCCAAGCCTAGGTCTCCAGAACTAGATAAGCAGGGTATGTCCCTCCACGGAGAGAGTGTTCATTCCATCCAGATACAGGGACATTTCCATATATAGATGGCATACACGTGTGGAACTCTCAGTCTGATCTGCTCTAGATACACTTTAGTATGGCAATGAGTTTTCTCAAGTGTCAGACACCCAGTGCCCTCATTATTCTGTACTTTTCTTTTCATATGAACATTTTTCATCCCAGAGAACATTATCGGCAGATTACCATTTGATCAGGTTTTCAGATAGGACTGTCTGAGGCAATAATGTAATGAGGGGCTCACTGGTGACTGGCTTAACTCTTTCTGTGTCATTGACTCCAATTTGCTATTTTGGTGATTTAAGTCTCTATGAAGGAGAAAGGGACAGGTTGGAATATTGTTTGCAGAGTTGTTGGAATGTGAAATGTGCTGTATTGGCTGTTCAATGGCAATTCTCAACCACACTTCAAGGGAAAATTGCCAAATACTATTGAAAGGGAATGGGATTAGAATCAGTGTGGAGCTTGCGCCAGTACAGACATGCTGGAGTTAATGTCTTCCTTTAGTGCTGTACATTTTCTATGATTCTCTGCTATTGGAAGGTAAAGAAGTCCATTCTCTTCCAATTCTTCAAATGTTGAGTTGGTGCAATGTCTGAACACCTTCACAAAATTAATTTGATCTCCTATATGTTATATTGCTCACATTATAACTAATTCCTTTCGCTTTATTAAACTTTGAGCAGAATGAAGATGAGGTTTTGTTGGAGTGCCGAGTCCGTTTTCTGTCTTTCATCGGAGTGGGGAAGGATATCCACTCGTTCGCCTTCATTATGGACACAGGGAACCAGCGCTATGAGAGTCACGTGTTCTGGTGTGAGCCAAATGCAGGAAACGTATCTGAGGCTGTTCAGGCAGCATGTATGGTGTGTACCCTCTGAACAAAGCTTTACTTCTTGTTTTAACTTTAAAATGCCCCCATGCCCTTACTGTGATCTTCACCAGTCCTACTCTCCTATCTACTTCCTCCACTCTGCCAACTCAGGACCCATCCATGTGCTCCACCCCCTCTGCCTCATCATCATCAGATGAGCCTTCAGACCTGTTGCCCCTACTCTTTAGAATTCTTCCTAAATCCCTCCGCCTCAAACTCTCCCTCATTGCTTTCAAAACCCAATGAAAAGCCTCTTTGTGCCTTTGGTCATCTCCCACTTACCCCCTCCCTCCCCCAATCTCCTACTTTGCTCAGTCTCCCACTCCCATCTCTATATAAGTGCCAGTTGTTATAAAGCACTTGAGACGTTTTCCGACATGAACATCACTATTTAAGATTCACCAAAGCTTCTGATGGTAATGGGATCTGTTCGACATATTGAAATGTTCCCACGTTAGACAGAGAATTCTTAATGTGCCGCTTTTAGACTGCTGACCTAGATACTGCAAGACTGACTGCTGATTGTCACAAAACTTGTCTTGTCTAGGATAGACACCAGCATAATGCTGACTTTCATTGAAAAATTTATAGCAATTTTGTAATTAAATAGGAATTTTGCTGTCGGTTACTTTTCGGTCTGTTTGTATTTGACCATTCAGCCTGCTGCAAACTGGACTATCTTTATACCCTGCAGCTACAGCTATCAAACCGAGGAACTATTGCATGTTAATTATTTTGTGGGTTTAATTTCTTATTCTTAAAATGTGAACATTTGTAAGGATTTTATTTTTGGAATTTTTTGAAAGCTGAGAAGTGCATGATTTATTGGTGGGAACGATATCTAGAAAACATAACAGTATTTAATCTCATTTTATTACAGCTTCGGTACCAGAAGTGTTTAGTGGCCAGACCTCCCCCGCCAAGGATGTGTTCTTCTGGTCCTCCAACAGACTCTGTGACAAGACGGGTCACGACCAGTGTAAAACGTGGTGTTTTGTCTCTCATTGACACTTTGAAACAAAAGCAACCAGTATCTGAATCGCCTTGAAGAGGATCTGGAAAGATCTCTTTAAACACTAGAGTCTAGTAATAACTGAGATAACACTTCATGATCCATGCGGATGTTGAGCCTTCCAGTTATATATGCTGAACCTCTTGTCTTCAACATATATTGTTTATTGTCAGAATAAATGTAAGACGAGCATGTTATCTCATTCTTCATCATGACGTGGTATCGGGAGGCGCATGAATAACTTTCTGCTATCATCGTTTCAGTTCACTAACTGATGGAAGGTGTCTGGAATTTCTATAAGCCCTGGACTAAATGGTGCCCAAGCAATTCATCTTGCTGTCTACTAAAAGCTGGACATCTCACAACCAAGCTCAAATCGGAAGTATTTACTAGTGCACTTTTTCTGTCACTAACACTGGTGCAATGTAGTGAGTGGTGCTTAGACTGTAATAGGGCTGCTTATTTTTTGTCATTGTTATCCTTTTGGTCGTTGCAGTCAATGTGATTATGTGTATCTGACTTATAAGACCCTTCTGTTACTCTGCTTCCTGCTTGCGGAGCACTTACTGACTAAAACAATTCAGATTAATATTGAAAGGTGGATGCATGTCTCTAACTGGTTATGACAAGCTTTATAAACATTATCATTGCCCTCTAGCATAAGACATACATATTCCCTCTAATATAATACACTCGCTCATGATAAGCCCATACTGTTGGAGTTACGACTTGTGACTGTTTTTTAGAAGCTGCTTGAAATGTTTGCTCTTTAATTGTTGGCTTCACTTGGATCTCTTTATTCATCGGTTCAACCATTCTTTGATGAAATCCACGTTCTTACCTTTTGAGAAAGTGCCCAGATACTTGTGTCTATTCCATTGCTTTGGGGAATGATTTTTTTGGTCTACTTCTATTTAAAACATACTCCTTTCGAAATAAATTTCACCTCGGTCTAGATCGACTCTATTTAAGTATAATAAACTCCTGATAACTCGGCACTCCAAAGGTCATGAGTTATTCAAAGTGGGGAGTTAGGCGTATATAAATACTGTATGTAAATAAATCTGTCCGGGATATTGACAGCACGATGACTTAAGTGGTAGTGACAACTTAAGCTGGGATCAGGTTATCAGCAGTTTACTGAAGCATTTTAGAGCATCTAGAATTTAGCAAATATCTCTACTGACTTCAATTTGAAGCCAGTTTTTTTGGAAGAACTAGAGAAAGACTATTGTAAATTTGAGACTGAATCCAACAATTTGCCGAACTCTGGACATTCTAAAATGCTCTCTAAATAGTGTAAATGGTAAAGGCAGTAAATCTAGACCCAAGGCGGAGTCTCTCCCCACACTTGGTGTTAGCTTTATTTTATGATCAGAATGCCAGCGGTCAGCTTCGGCTTTGGGATGTGTTGTTGGGTAAGGGTTGCGGAGTGGAAAAAGCGAGGGTTGAAAATCTGCAAACCGGAGACTTTAATCAAAGTTACATTCGGCGCTTGTCTTACTAAAGTACTCGGGTTAAAAAAAATGGACCAAGTTGAATTCTACATGTCAGTTATCTCAAGGATGCAACCTGACCTTAAAAACAAGCGGATATTTTGCTATGTTAATAGAACTAGTGATCTAAATTCTTTGCTTAGATTGAGCAATAATGCAAATGCTGTCACTAAACTAGCAGTTCAAATCTCCCTGTACATTTTTAATTTCAAATAAGGGTTAAGATTTGAGTTGAAGTAAAAATAACTAAAAAAAGCTAAGGAAGAGAAAAATGGTAAACTCATTTAGTATGGTACCCATTTAATGCACTGGGAGACTGCATCTAGACTAGCAAAAGGGACAAGCGGGATCTCATTGAATGTTGTGAAAATGTTAAAACCACTGTTATTGGTGCATTGAGAGCCATAATACATTAGTGTGGAAATGGGGCAATGGAGTCAAAAGAGGGTCTTATAAGTGGGACTGTGAGCACATACCCAGTTGACTCGTGACAAGTGGGAATGAACCCAAAGAATTAATGTACACTTACTTTATGATCCGGCAACAGATCAGCATTGTTAGTGCTTGTGATGTTTGAGTGCACTATATTTACTAATGTTTCTCAAGAACTCTCAAGTCTCGCTCTTTCTGTTTTGAGCACTTCAAAAGGTGTTGCTCAGCTTCAAGGGCAGTTCACCTGTTTAGTTTGCTTTCTTTAATTTTATGGTACATTTGGGTGGAATGTACATCTTTGTAATTCTACAGCGTAATGAAATCATAACATCCCATTAAAAATACTGCTCTGCATTCTGGTTGGAGGAGACAGGAAGGGAGAAGAAGGGTGGTGCAAGTAAAGGTGTAGCTGTGGTTTCTTGAGTTTTACCAGCTGCTGAACATTTAAGTGCACAGTGAAGATTTATGCACCTACAGAAAACACCACAAGCACAGAGGAAAGCTGTGAACAACCAAGGGCGATCGCAAAGAACGGATGTCATGCATTTACAAGACATTTCATTTCAAAATGTTAGATGCGCAGCAAAGCCAAAACTGTGTAAAAATACTTGGATCGGGTTTAACCAAATGTTCTGTCTTTTGATTTATATTTTTGTCAATTTGGTTAAAATACATGGAATCTAAGCCTGAATTTTATATCTTTTCTCTTTTATTTGTTACTGTAAAATGCAAGACTTGTAGAAGAATATCGGTCCTTTTTTTTATTTTTTTAATGAATAGACAAGCTGGTTGTAACTAGATTACAAATTGTTATCTATGCATCCATTACAAGCAGTGGCTCTCCAGACAAATTGCGGTCACTACTGCTTTGCATGCCATATAGCTATTTTAAGCAGCACAGCAAGTGAACTTTAAAAATAAATGCATATTAATATTTTTATTTTATTTATTGTATTTTATATTGAAATATCCCTGGTAATTATGTTCCATTATGTTTTACTGTAGATTCTCACAGTGTAGCTAGTGTTAATTAATGTCTAAATCGCTGTAGTCTGATTTGAAGGCTATTCAAACAATATTGTGTGAGGGGGAAAATTCATACTATAATATCAATGAGCCAAAGTACTGTTGTGTTACAGCCAGTTTAAATAGGATTTGTTATGTTTCAGATATGTACTGTGCGTTATCAATTTGCTCCTGAACAATTCCCCCTTTGACCTATTGGAATAATTGTCTGTAAAAATGTTCGACTGGTGTCAGTCTGGCTCAGCTGGTAGCACTCTTCTGCGTCAGAAGGTTGTGGGTTCAAGTCCCATGTGAGGTACTTTAAGGTTGTAGTTGACACTCCACTGCAGTGTTGGGGAGCGCTGTATTGTCAGAGGTACCGTTCTTTGGATGAGACATTAAATTGAGGTGCCATCTGCCTGTTTATGTGAACGTTATAGATCCTATTCTATTCAAAAAGAGAAGGGAGTTTCTCCTGGTATCCTGGCCAACATTCATTCAGCTAAGTTGGTCATTCATCTCCTGGCTATTTCTGGGACATTGCTGTGTGCAAATTGGCTGCTGTGTTTGTTACAATTACAGTCACTACCCTTAACAGTAATTACTGTCTGTTTACCTTCCCTCTTTGAGATGTTTTGATGTAATAAGGCATTATATTAATTTCAAGGATTATTATATTATTAAGTAAGGGGGACATTAAGACGAACGGGAATGTTTACCTTGGACTCAAAAGGTTTCAAAAATATTTTCAGTGTACACAGTATGTACAGTAGTTGGTGTTCACTAATCTTGTATTGTCGCTGTTTTGCACAACACATAACCTTCTCATTGAAACAAGGTAATATAAGTGGAACAGCATCTAATTTCAGAATATTTGCACCAAAGGCATGGGATGTGTTATTCTGATCCTCCTCTGTCAGCCTGAGAGGTCAAATGGGAGGCGAGGTAAAGGGATCACCAATTTCTGAAAGGCGCCAAAGGGCAAGGGAAAAAAAAGGCCAGTGAATCAAACAGAAGCCTATTGGTAGATGGCGTTTCACTTGCTAGACTTAGGCAGCTTTCAAAAATGGCAATTATTGCTTCCCCATTCCTTTCTTGAATATCATGAATTGGGCCCCAATATTGTAAATGCTTCAAAGGCTAAATTTTAAATATTTACCATTCCTTTCTTCCGATGATAGACATAGTAACGATTATAATATGACTGCTGTACCCCAGACATATTCTTGAGAGCTGAAAGAGAGAAGAGTGAGCAATAGTACTCGGACTTCTAAACTCCAGTCCTGTTTCAGTGAATAGATCATGAGAGGACATAACCTATTGCACATATTCACCATCCTCATGTGTAAATTAAATCTGAATGGTCTGTTCACCTTTCCTCTTCTGAGCTTGAGTCTTTGTCCTTGATTTGGTCCCAGGTCATGTTTGCGCAACACTGGTAATATAAGCACGAATATATCACACCGGACAGACAGAGCAAGATATAGAAGCTCCCTCTTTCCTCCTTCCCCCCTTCCCGGCATCCAGGTTGGGACTCTAGTAAACTAATTGTGTCCAGCATTCCAATAGCTGTTATTTGGTTGACAAGACATTAATTGAAATTTCAGATGTAGCTTGATATCAATAGCCCTGTATCCAGTTTGATAGTCTAAAATTGACTATGTTGCTAAAAGCCTGAGCTGTGCAAGCCTTTGACGGCTTATATACAGTATATTTTTTTTTTGATTCTCTGCTATCCTCTGAGAACTATGTACACTTATTGTTATAGAATATGATCTATGTTAGAGTTGTACACAAGGACATTCAGCAGCTGATTTACAGGACAATAGCTGTTCTCTTCTGCTTCCCACTTATTTTACACGTGTAAATGTAATCTGTTGTGAGAATAAACTACATATACGGATGGTATTTTTAACTCTGCCTCTGATTTTACAATTGAACACACAAGAGTCTCCTTATAGTTATGGGGCAACACACCTTTGACTCCATTTTAGCTAAATAAATTAATTGACTTCAAACTACGCCGTACACTTTATGATGGAAAATAGAAGTTGCCCATTATTTTATTTGCCCTGTTGTTTTAAAGAGCTGCAAGATTGTCATTTTGCTTTGTGTGTTGAAATTTGATTATATTACATACAATTGGATTTCTGTTGGTCTCGGTTGACTATCATCACCAGAACATTGTGACTTCTCTATCTGGGTCTCTCAGCACTGTAACTAGTTGTTAGGAGTCACATAAACAGTGGGAAAGGGCCTGGCACTTTGCTGAGTACCTTGTCTATTCCTGTTATCCTGCTTGCAATCTGACCTATACAAAATTAAAATTACGCTTGTATTCCTTTTTTTTAAAGTTTGAAGTAGAGCAGCACGCCTGCTTAATGTTCCTATGCTGAATATCTGCCATCTGTTGCACTTCAATAGATGTGATACAGTTAGTGATGGATGGGATCAGACTTTCTGCATCTATCACTCCAATCTTCCGATGTAGCTAATCGGGAAGTAAGCAGGGTGCTAATTGGGCTAGCTGTCTATATTTAGTAAAACATTAAATTTCACTTAAGAATGAGGATACAATTAACATGGGAAAATGCAGATATTTTGTAATATTTCCTATGCCAGCGCAAATGTGGAAGAGTTGGAGGAGCAACTCAACCACAATGGCTGATTATTGTATATAATGTGAGCTGTGGCTCTGGGAGGATTGTACAGACAGTCAACCCCAACAATTTCCATTTTGTTGGCTGGTGTTTACATGGCATTTCACACAGACCAAAGCTCCTCTTCCCTCATTTCACCTCAGGAGCACTTTCCTCCAAAATCAGCCATGTGGCTCATAACAGATTGGATTTCTGCACATTTGCAGAAGGAACAGTAAAAGTTGGTATCCACTCTTTTCCCCCACCAATATTTTCCATTCGTGGTTACTTCGAAATGTTTTATTTACTAGGCGACATCTTTCAATCCCATCAATTATTTCACTAAATTATATGAACGATGTACTTAATCATGGGCATTTTTTTGTAGGGTTGAATTTACTCCAGAAAAACCTCAGTTAACCATCTTGATGAAAGAATGTTCTAAATGCAAAATACATGTTCTAAACCAAAAGGTAGAGTGAGAGAGAATGCTGTCTGATGAAAAGTGCCAACAATTAATAATCCAGATGAATAATGAGTAAATGTGAATGAATACACTGGAATTGTTGCTCAATTCTCTTTGGGTTTCAGGAACACACTAAGCAGAGCTTTTCCCTGGGAGATAAAGAGTGGGTGAATGAAGACCGTGATAGTGGAGAGTTGTGAGGAGTAGGGTTGCTGATTTTCTCATTCCTTAAAAGTTGTTAGTGAAGGCCCAAATTACACTGAATTAAGATTTGTTTTCAAAATTCGACATGTGCCTTTTGTTCTAACTCCATCCTCCCTATCAAATTTTAAAGGCATCACTATTCAAATAAATAAAAAATATTTTTAGTTATCTGTAAAAACTGTTACTAGCACCTTGGATATCCTCTCAACATGAAAGGTGCTATATAAATTTATATTGTATTATATTACTATAAAGGAGTTTGACAAAATCTTAAAAATGGAAGCTTCAGGTTATTTCAAGGATTAAATGGATGTGTCAAAATTATTTGGGAAATTGGATTGTAGGCTACATGGACCAATGGTCTGCTGCTGACTGAGTGATGGTGTTACTATAATTGTGCATTGCAATAAGGATTCTTAAAAACATTTCCAAGTTTCCAAAACATATTAAACGTCACCTTGGGATCGCATCAGGAAATCAGGACAATTCACTATTCAGCCCATTTTTTCCAGTGTTCCATTTTCTGATTTGAAATCAGGATGCCTCTAATAAAGATAACGGCAAAATATGCAAGTCTATTGCAATAGTGAGTGCTTACTGTATTGTAAAAAGGCAGTTCTAAAATGCCACTGCAGTGACGTCTTCTCTCCATCTTTCCCCCTCCCCCAAGTTTCTGAACCGTAAGGATTTAATGCCTTTTACATGATACCACAATGATTTTGAAGTCCTGGATTCAATGAAAGGGAAGCCACTGTTACCACCTGCTCCAATGAAATCTGAACTCTGATCCCCTTCTTCATTGCTTCTCTGGCTCACATCAACTCCATCAATTTACATATGGAAAGCATGTATTACTACTTCGGTAATAAATACATGTAACTGCCCTGCATTTGTCATCCAAATAGCATCAAAAACTAGTGTAGATATTCATGTCTGAAAAGGTTTGAGCTTTTTACAACTCCCAATGCATCCATTTGAAAGTAAATTTTAAAAGTACATTTCCCAAATGTCTATTAATTTCACTTTGGAAGCATTTGTGAAAAGCTATTTGTAAATACATCTTCATTCTCTATTGACCTGTTACTTAAACCCATCTATATTTGAACTTCAGTAGTTATAAAGTTTTGATGAGCAGGCAAAACACCATAGTTTCAAATCATACTTTGTAGACTTCAAACCTGCTGAAACAGCTTGGGAACTTAAAACCCATAAAACTAAATTTTCTCCAAGTGAAATTCTGTGTCAAATGTTCTGCATAATGCACAGTAATGTGGGGAAGAAATCCACTTGCAACATTTCATCTTTTTGTAGTCTAGCCTCTTTAAACAAAGAAATGGCTTTCTTTTTAAATCAGACTACACACTGCAAAGGGAAACATGCACATTTAATAGTTTTATTGCAAATTAAATGCTGTGCACAAATAACATAGATATATAAAATAAACAGACTTATTCAAGCTCAGACTTTCCAACAAATCAGGTAAGAACACCAAACTACTAAAGACTTTTATAAACAGAAACCTGTTAAATTTGCTATGTAACATGCACATTTAGTGGCACTAAATTCAAACGCTGCACTGAAAAAATATTCCCCACATCATTAGCAACAGACTGGGAATTTAAATGTGATATTGCCCGGGATCTATATTTGTCCACCTTCAAAGGAATTCTTCAGAACAAAATTAAGTAGTTGTGGTTTGGTGATGAGGCACATGTAAAAATCTACACCTTATATTGTCGCTTTCAAATTGTACATACATTTATTTTTTGCAGTGCAACTCACTAAAGCAAAGCTGACTTAAGCACTAGCATTTTTCTAAAGAAAACAAAATAGAATTCTGCTTGTCACTTGTGGTAAATAAATACCTCAGTCATGGTTTGTGCTAATGAAAAGTACAGAAATCTTCAGTGTAAAAACATATTCATATGCAAAAAAGGTGTCCAACCACCCAAATGGATATAGAATGAACAAAGGGATGTAGAGGTCCAGGTATACAGGTTTTTCAAAGCCAGGTTCACTCATGCAGAAAGCAATCAAAAAGAATAAATGGACTGTTAAACTTTATGGCAAATGTTAAATAACAGCAAAGAAATTTTGCTGCGGATTTGTATTAGTCTGAACTTTATTTGGAATATTGTCTTCATTTTTAGACACCTACCTGGGGAAGGAGATACAAGTCTTTGAGCAAGTCCAGCAATGATTTGACAAGATGATATCTGGGACGAAAGAACATACTATGATTTGAGACCGAGTAAACTGGAGTTATATTTATTGGAGATCAGGAGGTAGGGTGTAATCTGATTGACATGTTCAAAATAATTAGCAAGGTACTACAGGTACTAGCAATTTACAATAAATAGAGAATGACTCCATTGTAGTTAAAATATTCAGAAAGACATAACCTTAAAATCAGAATTAAGTTGATAATAGCAGTTTTGAAAGAAAATATTTACATAGTTGTGAAAATATGGAACAGACTGCCTCAGAAGCCCATTGATGGAGTTGATCAAGACATTCAAGGATATTACAGGATACATAGCAAAAAGGGCAACTAAAGCATACCTGGACTTTTATAGTGTTTAGTTCTGGAAAGGATGAAAGAATGAGGGACACGTTATGTTCCAGAAATTATTAAATCCCAATTTGGCTGCATTCTGGTCTCAAACAAGTTCTTATTTAGATAGAGGTTGCATCCTTAAACCTCCTTCCCTCAACCTCCTCGCCTTCACATGGACATGCATATGGAGGTTGAATGTTTCGTCCTGTGTTTATCTGAAAATGGGTCACAGTGTTATTATAATGAAATCTAAAATATTGAGTTATGTGCACAAAAGGCAAACCTTCAAAAGCTACTTGAAACAATCATTTGGAGGTAGAGAAGGGAGGGAAAAAACTGGTCTGTCAACTCCAGATGGAAGTGAAACAGGAAACTATTTCTAGGATGAGACACTAATGGTTGCATTAGTTGCAAAGTGGATAGTTTTTGCTATGATCACCCTTTACACAAATTATCCACCCATATGGAGTTTCAGGAACCCACTGGTGAAGTCATGTCAGGGTAAAAAAGTGCCACTCTTACTTTTTTTGAACTAGTCTCTTTGTCCAATCTTTTAGGTGGTTAAGAGTTAAGACAGGTACAGAAATAATCTTATATGCAGACAACATATAGTTTTTTCTGGTGTTAACACGTACTGCACTGGAGTTGATCCAACTATTGGAATCACTGATTACAGGGGAAAAAATTATCTGGAGTATATTATGCCACTCTCTCTTTAAATACTGAATGACAGAGATCCATTTTGTTTAGTGTGCCAGATTTTAATGACCAACTTATTCACTTGAGAGGGCCCTGTTCACTTCCAGAGGATGTGTGAAAACTGCATTCTGAGAAATGTTACTGTATTGGTTAATTAAAAGTACGTAGAGTAAAACAGGTTAAGATGTTAAATCAGTTCACTTTAGGTGTTGCAGTTATATTCTGAATATGGGTACATTCCACACTTAACATTCTCCTCTCAATCAGTTGGGATGAATTTCTCCCTAGTCCCATCTCTTTTTTTTGGGTTGGGGAATTCCTGCACATATACACTTGCCTGTAAATATAACATTTCTGTTATAAATCACTTATTTTATACACAACTCCTTTCCTCCTTCATTTTCAGGTCCGAGAGTCTCATGGAATGCATAATGAATCCCACATTTCATGTAGAAAGGACAGAAATTATACATGGTTTGGACCTGAATTCATTTAATGGAAAATAATTACTGTTTTCTTTTCTGGCTCATTTTCCCACAGTATATGCAGTATACCTTAATTCAAATATCAGCAGCTAAAACAAATGCTAATTTAAATACAGTTCATTCTGGGTTACGATTTAACTGCATTTCAGCTGCTAATGTAATTATTATAGGATGTCTTTTATATATATTTGTATCTACACTATATATATTAATATCTATATATATTTGTGCTGCCAACATATGGTGGGCATTTGGTTAACGATACCTGTTTTCAATCGATAAAATTGCGCACATACATTTCTGAAATAGTTTTATTGCTATCAGCAAATCTGTGGATGTCATTACTAACCACAGGTACTGCAACATATATTGAATATTTTATATAAACAACCCAGAAAATCTGAAATGAAATATTCTGGCTCAGTATGTTGTTTCATTTATAGCCAGGGGCGGGGCTGCCTCCTTGACGCTGAACCTACATCTCTTTGTCTTTTCACACCAAGGGAAGTTATAAATGAATTACGTGAATATGGGAACGGTGGTTGACTAATTAGTCCGTTGTACTGGTAAAAAAAAGTTTGACCAAAACTACGTGTATGACTTCCTGTTGGACCAAGGTAGCGTATTGTAACTGGAGGAAGCAACATCTCAACTGGCTTTAACACTAATTTGTTCTCTCTTTTTGCCTTCCTCTCAGACAATCTGTTCACTGAAGTCATGCTTGTAATACTTTTCTTTGGGCGACTGGGTAAGGCAGGAACAGATATTCGCTGGGCTGATTGTGCGTCCAAATTTAACTCAGTGGTTTGTTCACCAGAGTATGATTTGACCATGGCAGTGTTTTCATTTGCAACAACTGTTTTTTGTTCATTTATGAAATCTGTAATCCTTGACTGAGTTCCACTGAAAGATCCTTTCTTCTGGTTGAGACTTTTTGGTTTTTTTCGCTTGTCTTCTCTCTTCCTTGGTTTGTTTGGTTCAGGTCCATCCAGCAAACCCTTAGCTGCAGCTCGAGCCAAAACATCCTTTACAGACACAACTGCTGAGGAATCTCGCTTTAAATTCAATAAAAATTTTACAGGTCAGAACTAGTTCAATCAAATTCATTATTTTCATATGAAAACAAATGATAAGCTCTTCAATGACCAAACAGATGAAAGCAGCAAGAGGATCATACACACTAAATCATAAGTTAAAATTCCAATCTCTATTAAGTCAGATGATCACAACTGGGGCAAAAATTGGTTTCAGTGCTCTTGGGTTAAATAATCCTTGCAGTTGATTTGGTGCCTTTCACGCAAGGTAAACGCTTCAAAGCGCTTCACAGGTTTTACTATAAAGTTACTGTGTTTTGTCAAACAGGGCAGCCCATTTGCGCATAGCAATGTCCCACAAATAGCCATTAAGTGAATGACTAATTTTATCCGTGGGACTGTTGACCAGGACACAGGAGAAACTTTCTTTTCTTTTTTAGTACAGGATTTTTAATGTCTACCTGAACAGGCAGACAGGACCTCAGCACAATATCTCTTCTGAAGAACTTTTATGCTTTTATTCCAGCAATACAACATAGCACTGTAACCAAGACCTTGTGAGTTCAAAGTCCCAACAGGGGCTTGAATCCACAACATTCTGATTTATAATAATAATCCATGCATTTGATATAGCGCTTTTCACGTCTTTGAGACGTCTCAAAGCGCTTCACAGAATAGACTGGCAAGTGAATTGACTGTATATTTGTGGGCGAAACGCAGCAGCCAATTGCGCACAGCAGTGTCCCACAAACAGTCATGGACTGAAGTGACCAATTTATTATTGTTTTGTTTTGGAGGGATTATTATTAGGCGTGTGGAGTAAGGAAACTTGCTCAAGGTTTCACCCTGCCTGGAATTGAACCCAGGTGTCTCGCTCGTGAGGCGAGTGCTCTAACCACTGAGCTACAGGACTCTTTAGAGGACTTAAGAGGAGCAACTGCCACCAATGGAGCCAGGCTGATATCTGGAGCGGAGAGAGGGGAAAAAAGTCTGGGTTCCTGTTATCTGGAAATTCCTGCTTGACTCTGTGATTGTGTGACTATCAGGTGATAACAGGGTTGGGTGGCTTTAACAAACGCACTAAAGTCAAGGTTCACAGAGTCAATAATGCCACTTAAGTGAGGTACCAAAGGGAGTCAAATGCTTTCAAGAGAGAAAAGCATTGATGGGAGAAGAATATTTTAAACCAATAGCCAAAACATTTTCCGCAGCCTAAGTTTTTTTTAAACCTATTTGTTGAATTGTTTTTCTACCAGTGGCAACTGCCAGTTTAGCAAATTGAACCGCTGTATATGGGAGAAGGGAAACTTCTTTTGGAAATTCCCTCCCCATTCTAATAATTAAGACAGTGTAGCAAGGATAAAATTCCAAGCATGCTGAAGAGATGATAACCAAGTAAAAATAAACCATTATAAAGTCTTACTGTCACTGACAATGAGAACATTTAAATTTAGTAATACCAATCTGGGGAATGGGTATGTGCAGTTTAAGGAGACAGTGAAACCTTACAGAAAGCTAATGGCGGTATGCACCTGGGAAGATCACTGGTAAATTAAATTCAACAATGGTAACTGCAAGTTATGTAGGAAAACATATAGTAATCACTCCTTGGAAGGAATAGAACTCAACAAGGAAGAAGCTGGAACAGATCTAGGGATGTTAATCTACTTGTTCCTCAATATTGCCAAGCAGTGTGAGCCAATAACCAACAAGAAAAACATGATTCTCCCCCAGACCCTACAGACAATAGGGTCTCACTCCACCTGCACTTCATCTCCTCAAACGGTTTCTCCTCTAAGCCCCGGACCATCTCGTGCGGCGTTCCTCAGGGCTCTGTCCTTGGTCCCCTTCTCTTCAACATTTATATGCTCCCTCTTGGTGACATCATCCGCAGACATGGGGTCAACTTCCACATGTAGGCGGATGACACCCAACTCTACCTCTCTGCCTCCACCATTGACTCCAGGACCACTGCTGTGCTGACAGAATGTCTCTCAGACATCAAGTCCTGGATGAGAATTATCTTTCTTCAGTTGAACGTCGACAAGACCGAGGTTCTCCTGATTGGCTCCGGTCAGCGCCTCCTCACCCCAGGCGCTGACAGCATCACCATCCATAATAATAATAATAATCCTTGCATTTGATATAGTACTTTTCACGTCTTCTAGATGTCCCGAAGCGCTTCACAGAATATACTGTAAAGTGAATTGACTGTATATTTGTGGGCGAACGTGGCAGCCAATTGCGCACAGCAATGTCCCACAAACAGTCATGGATTGAAAATGACCAATTTATTATTGTATTTTTTTTGGAGGGATTATTATTAGGCTCTGTGTGGAGTAAGGAAACTTGCCCAAGGTTTCGCTCTGCCTGGAATTGAACTCAGGTCTCTCACTTGCAAAGCGAGTGCTCTAACCACTGAGCTACAGGACTCCATGGTTGTACACTCCAACTCACTAAGCCAGTCCGGAACCTTGGGGTCTTGTTTGACCCTCAACTATCCTTTCTATACCACATCTGCGGCATGACCCGCTCTGTATTCCCCCACCTCCGCAACGTCACCCGGCTCCGACACTGTCTCACACGGCAGGGCACTGAAACCCTCATATACGAATTCATTACATCGAGGCTCGACTATGCACTCATTGCTTGTCGGCCTCCCCAACTCTTCCCTCCATAGGCTGCAGAGCATCCAGAACTCTGCAGCCCATATCCTCTCCTGCACTATGCTCTGCAACCCTATCACTCCCATCCTTGCCCAACTCCACTGGCTTCCCATCACACAAAGGATATAGTTCAAGATCCTGGTCCTCACCTTCAAAGCCCTCCAGTCTTGCTCCCCCCTACCTCTGCGACCTCCTAACCCCCTACCACCTTGTTCGCTCCCTCTGCTCAGTGGGCTCCGGTCTACTTCACGTCCCCCATCTTGCTCACCCCCACTATCGGAGGGCGGGCTTTCTGCCACTCTGCACCCACCCTCTGGAACTTCATTCCGCAGTCCCTTCGTCTCACCCCCTCTCTCGCCCTCTTCAAGACCCTCCTCTTCGACCGTGCTTTCGATCTCCCTGCTTTCCCCCCCGCCCTCCCCTCTCTCTCACCCCGACCTTCAGCTCGGGTCCGTAACTCTGTCTGTCAGTGCCTCGGGACGTCCTCCTGACGTGAAAGTGCTTTACAAATGTAATTTTGTTGTTGAGTATTATTCATTATTTAGAGGAATATTCCCTTACCTGCAAACAATGTGCAACAATCATGGTAAACCAGACTGTGCTCTTGTAGCATACCTCCCAATGGTGTGAAGATCTCCTCCACATTGGGCATTGTTTTGTGCTTTAGGATGGAGGAAAATGCTTCCCTCCTGGTTTAATAATAGCAGGGAGTCAAAAGGGCAGTGCTCACTGAAATTTAACAGCATCAGAACATTCAGATAAAAGCAGCAGGTCGTGGAGGGAATACAGTGCTCCTTCCTTTTATTCTAATATTTCAATATTGGAGAAGGGGAGCTGAGCTAGCAAGCCATTTGATTAGTTGACCTCTTGCGAGATTAAATCTGTAACTGAAGTATTGTTTCTTGCTCTTGTTGTGGTGCTGGATGATGGGAAGAGGAATACTCAAGCAGGAAAGAAATTATGAACTGTTAAAAAATAGATATAGCTTGCATGCTGCTGGTCCTGCAGAAGTCCTTTTGCTCAACAACAACAACATTTCATTTATAGAGCGCCTTTCACGTTGGGAGGACGTCCCAAGGCGCTGGACAGTTCAGGACCCGAGCAGGGGGGAAATGGTCAGAGTGAGGGGAGGGAAGGGAGGGAGCGAGGAGGGGGGAAATGGTCAGAGTGAGGGGAGGGAAGGGAGGGAGCGAGGAGGGGGTAGAGAGTTGAGAGGGGAGCTGAAGGCACGGTCAAAGAGAAAGGTCTTGAGACCGGCCTTGAAGGAGGAAAGGGAGGAGGCGGCGAAGGCACTGGGGGATGGAGTTCCAGAGCCTCGGGGCTGAGAGGCTGAAGGCCCGGCCACCGATGATAGGGCAGTTGGGGCGGGGGATGTGGAGCAGACCGGAGCCAGAGGAACGGAGGGTACGGGCAGGTAGGTAGGGGGATAGTAGGTCGGAGAGGTAGGAGGGAGCAAGGCTGTGAATAGCCTTGTAGGTGAGGATGAGGATCTTAAATTCAGTGGTTAGACCACTCGCCACGCAAGCGAGAGACCTGGGTTCGTTCCCAGGCAGGGTGAAACCTTAGGCAAATTTCCTTACTCCACATGCCTGATAATAATCCCTCAAAAAAAAGCCAATAATAAAATTGGTCGCTTCAATCCACGGGGACACTGCTATAGACAATTAGCTGCTGTGTTTCGCCCACAAATATACAGTCAATTCACTTTGCAGTACTGTGACATCTAGAAGATGCGAAAAGCACTATATCAAATGCAAGGATTATTATTATATTATTATAAACGTCGAAATCCAGGAGTTTCTGCAAAATTCATCTTTTCCTAGGATTATTAATGTAAGCAGGCTTTATACTCCTCAGTGTACAAGTTCATAAAATGCTATCAAAACTTTTAAATGCCTGAACAATATTCTGAGTGATTAATAATAATTCTTGCATCCTAGGGCATATTCAACAGAGCTTTATTACTCTGTGATTCACAGGATTCAGTGTACTTTTTTGTAGGTAAGCACAGCAGCCAATTGGTACACAGCAATGTCCACAATCAACTATGAAGTGAATGATCAATTTTCTGTTTGGGGAATTGTTGGCCAGGACATCAAGAGAAAATCCTTTTACTGTGAATGTCAGGAGATCAACGTTAATCACGAATAATATTACTCAATGCAAAATGTAACTGTTAGGTACGAATTAAATAAATGGGTAGAGCAATGAATAAATCACATTCATTCTTTTCGTAAACGGCTGCATAATACCCTCACTGCACTTCCAAAGATACTTCTTTGTCCATACTCAAACAAAAGGAAAACATCTCTATTTTTGTTCTGAATGAAAATCAGTGCATTGTGTTGCACAATTGCTTAAGTTTGAGTTAGGCTTCACTAATTCACAATTGTTTATTCATGCCCATTTGAATTATTTTCAGTCACATTTTTCAAAACTAATATTTGCCATAAATTATGCTGCTACAGCTAATAAACTGCACATTAGACTGCACGCTTTGAGCGAATCCAATATTAGGTGCTTTGTCAAATGCAAGTATTATTATAGACCATTTGAATAAATCACATTTTTTATTAAAATGTAACTTTTTTAAACAATTGTGTTGCTGTCTGTTAGCATCTGACAGCAACAATTGCACTGAATTGTAAACTCGTTCTTAAGTAACCTTGCAAAATTCAGAATAATCAATTACTGTGAAACCTACCTCTCTAGTTAAGACGGCAATAAAACAGCCATTGACTTGTTCTGATGGCTCAATCTTGAAGAATTTATCAACAGCACAGGTTATTTCTGATGCACAACACAGTGGAATAACAGGAGCACTAAGTCTGTGGAGAGAGAAAAAAAAGAGCTGAGTGGAATCTATATTATCCACATCCAGATTATCCACTTTCCTGGTGTCCTTGTCTGATGGCGAGGAGATAGCCAAGAGCAAGCAAAACCTAGAGTCAAAGCAACTGAAGGAGCCCAAGATGGAACAGGAGGTGAAATTGCCATGAAACATCACAGCAATTTCCACCTTTCATATGTATAATATACATGTAGGCTTCAAAGAACTGCATGAACACCTCATCCACTACTCATGTGTACACATTATTTGGAATAACACACTGAGATGCAAAAGGCAATTAAGAAAGAGCCAATTAAATACTAGGTCATACTAGACATACTCTCCAGGACACTAAATTGAAAGTGCATTATCGTCCTATTGAAGATATTTGGAAAAGTTAAGATCCCACAAAAGCCTGCTCTAAAAACACGTGGAAGGTAAGATTACATTGTAACAAACATTGTTGGGATAAATTCTGTTCATAGTTACAAATAGAGCCTTAGGCAATGGACAAATAACTAAGATATCCCATCAGTGATCAACATCACCAAAGGTGATTCACTTAATATTGGATGCAATGTTACCCATATGGGCTACCCTGCCCTCATCAATGAATTGACCAACTTTTGGCAGTGAACATGCATTACAATCGACTTGTGGGTAAACCGATCGTCCATTAGAACAAACAACTCATTATAAGCACAAACCCCCAAAGTTCACTAATATTCCTCAAAAAAGCAGGAATAATGCACATAACTTCACTGTCCAAACTTTTCCAAGGAATTTCTCATGATAATGAGCTGTCATACTTAAAATACTGTAGTTGCAGATTTAGCTAGTAATCTTACACACATTACTAGTCATGTTGCTGGGCACTACTTTGTTTACAAACACAAGCTCTAGGTTTTGTCAATCATATAATAATAATACTTGCACTTGATACAGCACTTTTCACGTCTTCTACACGTCTCAAAGCACTTCAAAGTATTTACTGTAAAGTGAATTGACTGTATATGTGTGGGCGATTCACGGCAGCCAATTGCGCACAGCAGTGTCCCATAAACAGTCGTGGATTGAGTGACCAAATTATTGGATTTTTTTGAGACGTTATTATCTCCGGAAAAGCGATCCACAAATCAACTAACAACTGAGTTCCTACTTACTGCTAGATAAACAGAGGCATGTGGAGTAAGTAAACTTGCCCAACATTTGGCCCTGCCGGGAATAGAACCCAGGTCTCTCGCTCGCGAGGCGAGTGCTCTAACCACAAAGCTACAGAACTCCACAATTGCTTTACTGTGGCACAATACTCCTTTAGGTTGACTCAGAAGCAACTGTATCCAAAGGGTACGATTAAATCATAGAATGGCTGATTCACTGAGTTGCTAAATTAGTCCCACAGATTACAAAATAAATGTTTAGAACGTAACAAAAGAAAATAAAGAATGCAATACATTCTCATTCCATAAACATTGGTAAACAGTTGGTAATTGAATATTAGTCTATGGAAAGTAAATGCCATGTCAAGACTTTGAATCTTAAAAAAAAGTATTATTTAATAAGACTCGATGCTTGGCATTGTGCTCTGCCACTATCAAGCGCTCTGGGACACAAAGGGCACTATATAAATGTAAGTTATTGTTGTTATTAAGAAAATGAGCAAGTTTTTAGCTTTTTGTTCCTTACTTTTTTGTTTTGTGAGATAGTTTTATATATAAATATGGTGTATATAATAATAAAGCAATCCTTGCATTTGATATAGCGCCTTATGTCTCAAAGTGCTTCACAGATTGCACTGTAAAGTGAACTGACTGTATATTTTCTGGGCGAAATATAATATACCTGTACGGCTGCAGTTTGCTTCCCTCTATTCTCTTGCCCAATACTGGATTCACTATTTGCTCGTTTTCCTCAGGGTACACTGAACATGTAGAATACACAATGGCCTGGACCTTGGGAACTATGGAGAGATGTGGAAGTTTAGTGGATAAAAAGAAACATACAATTTTAATGAAATTAATGAAAAATGTATCAGCTAAAAACATTCAGCTTAAGCCAGTAATCTTAATGTTATGTTTACCTCCATAAATATCAAACTTACATTCCCTCAAGTTGTACCCAAGTTATTTCTCATCACATGTTAATGTACCATCCAAAAGGAGATCAGCAACATTTTCATGTCAATACAGAAACAGTTGTGAATGTATTACCGACTGCAGATATCAACTGAAAATATGGCTTCAGCAATAAATATTTGTTAAAGCTGAATTCATAAATTTAAATGTACACAAGAACTGTTTTGTAGGCAAATGACATAATCACTTATGATGTTTAGGTAATGGGAAGGAGCTTGAGCAGTCAACATTCAGTGTAACTTCAAATATGTTGTCACTACATATAGAATGCTGCTGAAAAATAGGTTTGCTTGAATAAAATGTCATTCCTAACACAACAGCACTCAGGAGACCAGAACCAGTCTCCAACTAATCAAGCGCAACTAAGCACTTTGTGAATATGTTTGATGTGTCTTGTAATTGGATTTGTTAAGACCACAAACTTAAACTCTTTTAATTATTCAGCGTCTTCAGACATTGTTTGTAGTCAGCCTTAGACAGGAGAAGCAGAATTGGCTAATATATATACATTTTGCTGATCTAGTACATCAAGACATTGGAACAAAAACATTTTACCCACATTTGCTGCAGTTGTACTCAGGGCACCAAATTGACAATTGAATTATAAACTTTTGGTGTGAAACTCATGACCAGATTCTGACTGCTTTGTAAAGAGAATGGCAGCTCCTTATTGACATTAAAATTGTAAAGATGGGCCAGTGAACTGCCTGCGAGCTGAGTTCATAAACTTCCTTTTATCGAATTGGTCAATATAGTGGAACCTTGTTATTAGCAAAATCAATAGATTGCCCTATTTTGCTGTGATTAGCAATAGTGCCTGTCCTCTGGACAAAAGGTGAGTGGCCTGCATTAGTAAGTCTTAGATACAGTAAAGGATTTTTACTAAGTTCCATCAAAAATACACCATTTTGGGTGAAAGTTGATAATTCTTTCTCTGAAAAAATGTTCAGCTTTTGAATGCACTCTTTTGTGGTATTTAACAATCAAATTTTGTGGTGGTTGTTATTCCCAGCATGACCTGGTTTGCTCCTACTGTAGTAAAACTATGGAGATAACTAAAATATACCACCCATGATTCATATCCTGATTATTCTTTATGGATCTTTTTGAAATTAATTAAAGTTACATATGTTACAGAAATAAACATGTACAATAGACACATACTATAGCACAAATATAACATATCTATTATATCCAACAATCATAGAATTATGCAGCACAGAAGGAGGCCATTCGGCTCATCATGTGTGCCGGCTCTTTGAAAAGAGCTATCCAAATCAATCCCACTCCTCCGCTCTCTCCTCATAGCCCTGCAAACTTCTCCTCCCCAATGTATCAGAAGCTAATAATTAATTTATTTGACACAACATTTAACGCAGTGTCTGAAGTTGTAATACTCCTAAATGGAACTCTCATACTTTCACGATGCATAGGCCTAGAAATAGATTTGTGGCATGTTTTAAGTTTATTTGCTTAAACTTTGTTTGACTCCCAGTATATGCGTGCCTTTGATCCATGGTCATGTAGTAAAAGATTTACAGATTTAGAGGTGTGTGAAATCAGTGTTACGTCAGATGATCAAGAGGTGATTGTTCAAGGTTTGATGGTCTGGTATAATCTGAACAAATCTGAATATTGGACTCTCCAAATTCAAAGCCTAGATTTATCTAATCATTACACCCACCCAACAGAAACCAACATTCATCAATCACAATAAAATGCTGTTTTTACCCTTTTAATAAAATAAGAATCAGCACAATCCCAAGCTTACAAAGATGGAAGAGGTGTCAGTTTAGCATCAATCACATCACTGGGCCTCTTTTCAAGTTGACCTAGACTCATTTTTATCACCAATAAAATGAATAAGTTTGTTCATGTAAAGACTATCCATCAATATTGGTAGACAACTATTCAATAACTTCACTGTCAAGTATCTGGCTGCATCAATCACTTCAGTGACAATTGTCTTTGTAACTCCATTTCTCCCAAGTGACCATTACTGGGACATATAAATGGAAGGTAGCTGAAGGCACGGTCAAAGAGGAAGGTCTTCAGATGGGACTTGAAGGAGGCAAGAGAGGGTGTGAGGCAGAGGGATTCCGGCTTAGAGTTCCAGAGCGTGGGGGCAGAGATGCTGAATGCCCGACTGCCAATGGTGGGGCGGAAAATGGGGGGACCTGAAGCAGGCCGATGTCTGCCTACTGGAGGGAGCGGACAGGCTGATATGGTGTTATGAGGTAGGAGAGGTAGGGGGAAGCAAGACAGTGGAGGGCTTTGAATGTAAGAACAAGGGTTTTGTACTTGATTCTCTGAGGAATGGGGAGCAACTGAAACCGGGCAAGAACAGGAGTGATGGGTTCCCAGAGCCTGGTGCAGGAGAAGCCATGAGCTGCAGAGTTCTGAATCTATAAACGTCACATTCTTGCCCTTGACAAACTAAAACTTACTGATATGGGATTATATCTATATAAAGCTATTAGCATTGGAAATTGCACCACAAACCAGTAGAAGACTGGGAAAGACTCTAGAGCAGTACAGAAAGTGCCAATTTGTTATACAATGGCACTTGAGCCATGATCTGCCATGAACTGATAAAATGGTGGAATGTCAGTTTCAATGGCGTAATCCTGTTCCTACAAGGATGTTCCAAGTACTCCAATATGCATATGAATGACAACCAAGTCTACTTTTCCACTTCTAATACTTGATTCTACTTATGTACTGTCTTCTGAGATGCAATCACTTTACATGCATGCGAAGACACCCAAATCCATTTTCCACTTTCAGTCTCAATTCCAGGGCCTTTTGATGTTCTGTCCTCTTGCTATAAGTCAGCAAGGCCTGGATGAACCACAATTTCTTACAACTCAACATGGATAAGACAGAAGCCATCCTCCTTGGCTCCCACAAACATCATCTGTTTTCAGGCTCAGATCTCTTTCAACTTCCCTGGCCTCTTTCTCAAAGTCACTGAACTAGTGTCTAATAATACCAAGCTAAATTATCAAAAGACGTATACAACACAGATAAATAACATTCAAAATAATCTGATCATTTTAGTGCAAGGTAATTCATATTGGAGCAATAAACAGTGAACCTATGTACATAAAATGGTGTCCATTAACAAACTTGTAAAAAGATTTCGATGTGATTATTGATAATTCTATGGTTTTCCAATGAAGATAAAGTATTCTTGATAAAGCTAATAATCCTTGTATTTGGTATAGCGCCTTATTACGTCTTTGAGACGTATCAAAGCGCTTCACAGAATATAATAAAGTGTAGTGACTGTATTTCATGGGTGAAACGCGGCAGCCAATTGCACACAGCAGTGTCCACAAAGCCGTCGACTGAGCGACCAAATTTTTAAGGAATTATGAGTGATAAGAGTGTGTGAGAGAGATTGTCTGTGCATTGTATCAGAGAGAGTGTGTGTGAATTGTGAATAGTAATAATTACTATTATAATAATCATCCTTGCATTTGACATAACCCCTTATCATGTTTTTGAGACGTCTCAAAGCACTTCACAGGATACACAGTAAAGTGTAGTGACTCTGTGTTTTGTGAACAAAATGAGAGTGAGACAGTATGAGTGAGAAAGAGAGAGAGAGAGAAAGAGGCTCAGAGATTGTGTGTGTGTGGGTGAGAGAGAGAGAGAGAGAGAGAGAGGGAGTGACGGAGAGCCTGTCTATGCTAACTAAATACTAGAATAGATAGTCAATGGTAATTACACAGCTCATCGGCAACAAAATACTGCAATTGTCCAGCTACAATTACTCTATTCCTTGGGGGTTTTGATTGCAAAGTTAAGGTCATGTCAATATCCCCAAATTTCATTCATGAACCTGAAATAACTATCAAAAGTGCAAAAGTGTGCAACTCCTTACTGGTGCTAATGACCTTAAAAGGGTGAAGGGTTGAGTGAAACCATTGGGATTCAAATCCCGGAATCTCTAATCCAAAATTTGAAGCTCAATCCACTTCGCTTTAGGAATCTTCATTAACATTAGGACTCAGGGAGTTTATATGCAATTTTTAAAATTTCAGTCAATAAACGGATGGAGAAGCATATATGCTGGAGTAGTTTGTGGAGTCCTGTACCTCAGTGGTTAGAGCATTTGCCTCGCAAGCGAGAGGACCTGAGTTCAATTCCCAGGAGGGGCAAAACATTGGAAACAATCACAAGTTTCCTTACTCCATACGCCTCTGCTTACTTAGCAGTGAGTAGGAACCCGGTTATTAGTCAATTGGTGGATCACTTTTCCGGGGGTAATAATCCCTTTTAAAAAATAATTTGGTCACTCAATCCACCATTGTTTGTGGGACACTGCTGTGTGCAATTGGCTGCCGCGTTTCGCCCACAAAACATAGTCAATTCACTTTACACTATATTCTGTGAAGCGCTTTGAGACGTCTCGAAGACATGATAAGGCGCTATATCAAATGCAAGGATTATTATTATTATGTGATCTGTGGATAGGCGGGTGGAAATACTCAAGAGTTTTAAAAAAACTTGTGATAGTGCAATCTGTATCTTCCGTTTATATGCAAACATTTTGAACTAGCCATCAAGATTGAGATATTTTGCTCACGTGTAAGTGTCAAGTTGTGATCAATATGCAACCAATGAAACAATACAGTGCTGTTCATCTTCAAAATGATTTCTCTGCTTTTCTTGCAGTTTTCTCTATCACTGCTGCTATAACTAGTTTGTCATTTGAAAACTGCGACATGAATTTGTTCCCCTTAGAAATAGAAAACTAATTTCTCAGGGCTTTTTTCCCAAACTACAAATAGCAACAGTCATCCATCAAGAACTGACACAAGATAAAACACATCAGATTCTAACACACAAGATCCAAAGAATTTAACATCAAGCAACTTGATTAATGATCCAAAACGTGCCGTTTATCATGTATATGGGGGTGTGAGTTGGCTTTATCAGTAACTCCAGCTACAGAACAAGACACATTTAAAGCTCTGCAATAAAAATGTCACAGTGATTTAAAGACATTAAATAAAGAATCTAAGAAACTAATGTTGGGTGTTTATTTCTGATAAATATCTTTAGCCATGTGAACAAACATAATTTGAATAGATTTGTTGCAGTATTTATAGTCCTTTCAAAAAAGCCTGCAACAAAGCATTTTTATTGCATAATTTAAAACCAACTTTTTTTACATCAACAGATTTTTGCTTTTAACAGTTTCGGGATAAATTATCCTGATATACTGCTATCCAAAATGTTTGACATTTTTGCTGTAAAGCAGCCATTTTCAAATCCACTTATTTTGATTTCAGGCATACTCTACTATGAACCATTGCATATATGGAAAATATATTGTGTTAATTTCTTTAGTCATTTTTATATGGACGGATTTGTTTTAAAGTTATACATTGCGTTCCAGGTGAGGTTTCTGATAATATTTTCTTACCATTTAAAACAACTGAGGGTACATTTCAAAGTTATGCTATCATCAAATGCAAGATAGATTTTTCCGCCTGCTCTTGCTTAAATCAATAAAACCATATATAGGTATAGGTTTTAGCTGAATAATTTGAACTGGGTTAATTGAAGAACTGCAAAACATGACTCTCGAAGATTCATGTTTCTGTACTGTCACTTCTTGTAACACCCTCACAAATTTCTCACAAGTGGAATCTGTATCCCCAACAAACCTGGAACCTGTGCTTATGTTCAGCCTTGTAAAGTACGTGGGAATGGAGTTAATTATTGTATACCAACTGTCCTGCTTACTGGATATTCTGCGCAACCAAAAGTTTTAAAAGGTGGACAAAGCAAAATTTAACTTCAACCAAAATTATTTACATAAAAATAATGAAGATCATAAATTACTACAATATCAAATTGAAACTACTCAGTCAGATAAATTACCCGGTTAAACACTGGTTGTTTAAAGACGACTGTAGCCTTTCATCTAACAGTCCCTTTTAACAAGCAATGAAAAGTGCTTCAGTTCACAGATTTTTACTCTGAATTTATCCTCCTGGACTCACCAATTGACCTTTAGTAAACAAGCCTTTGCTCCTATGATAAACTGCAACTCTTGTTCTGTATTTATATTGTCTTTTAGTGGCAAATCACTATCTTGGCAATAATTCATAGCCCAAAGTGTTATATAAACAGTGCAAATCATGCTAAAACAATACTCCTGCAATTTTCTGGAGGTGGGTTTCAGGACAACATACACATTTATAAATGTGCCAGATGTGAGTCACATTGGAATCACTCCTCTGAGATTCATTCATAGCTTTCGGCATGGGAACTTTGATTAAGGTATTCAATGATATTGTGCAATCAGCTCTTTAAAAGCATTAAAAATTCAGCACACAATTTTGGCATTCTGCATATGAACCAAAGGTGGGGCAATAAAATTGGGAGAGTGGCTTTTTCTCAACATGAAGTGGAGCAGGCAGTATAAATCCTAGTTTCTACCCTGTATTATTGTATTACCAAGGTAAAGCAGCTTTGCTCCCAGCAGAATAACCATCCTTTGCTTTTTTTTAAAAAAGTGCGATTCCAACAACATGATTGATTATCTTTGAAATTAGGATCCTTGATTCGTAATGAGACTTTGCAGACATTTCCACTTGAATAATAACATACATCATCAGCTTGCAAAAGCTACTCATTTCCATGTATAATCTGTGTGTCAAACACTAGATTATCTTTTCAATACTGAATGGCTAATCTTTTAATTTTAATAAAGCTCATGTTACATACTGTAAAATTATTTCAAAATAATTTCTGGCCCTTCGGAAAAGGAGAATCTGAAAATTAATGCAACAAAAAAAAACTATAAAAATATGCTCTCTGTGTTATACATTCGAACCTATTGTGAAAATTGCTAAGACTGAGCAAGATCAAGATTCACAAATGGAATAAAATTTGAAGTCCTTACACTTTGAATCATCTTTACTTTTAACGAAAGCAACAAATCTACTAGTGTATTAATAAATAAAGCAGTTTCTGCCTCAATGAAATACAGTTGCTGTTTTCACATCAGAAATGAAAATATAACTCATCCATATATAATCAGAATTTTGACAAATTATATACTACCTTAATATTGTGCACCAATTCAGCTTCACATCAGTCACCACCTCGGTACTGTCAGAATTTTTAAATTCAAAATAAAGTTTAGAACTACTGACTTACATTTGATAGCATGCATTAATTCCTCAGCTTGTCTCTTTACCAGCACATTGAGCTTCTCTTCTGACACTGTTCCCTGAGAAAGATCCTGTAGCAAACCAGTATCTGGGAGAAAAAGAAAAAAAAGGGTCAATATTTCCTTCTTTTAAGTGTCCAACTTAATTTATTTTAAAATAAACTTGGCAATAAGATCTCATTAAAGCAAATGAAATATTTATTAAATTGTGTTAATTATAATTACAGTTTATTTATTATACTCATTTATGCATTAAATATTAATGATTTTATTAAACCAATGCCGTGCGTGTTGCATTTCGGAGTTACTGTCCCTTTGTATTGGCCAACAATACCCCAAAATCAAATTGGTCAGTCACTCCATGGCTGTTGGTGGCACATTGCTGTGCGCAAATTGGTTGCCACATTTCACCGACGAAATACAGTCAATCTTGAGAAGTGCTATAATAACCGTTGCATTTTATATAGCATTTATTACATCTTCCAGATGTCTCAAAGCCCTTCACAGAATATACTGCAAAGTATATTTTGCATATATATATACATATATGTATAAAATATATATATATATAAAAGTGTTTTGAGACATCTTAACAACGTGATAAGGCTCTATATGAAATGCTAGGATTATTATTATTTTATAAGCTGAAGGCCAGCCCATACCTACACCAGGCAGACCTGCCATTTTCTTTTTAGCAGCGGGTACATTTATGTAATCACTGAATCATCAAAAGACTGATTTTTGCAATTAGATGCTTAAATAAAACAACTGCACACAAAGAAAAGGGAGAAATTGATTTATAGTGAGCAGAGGAAAACAATGAACAAATAATAATCCTTGCAATTGATATTGGGTTTTATGACATTGGGACAAAATCCCAAAGAGCTTAATAGGATTCACTGGTATGTGCAGCGACTGTGTACATTTAATTTGCCTTTGACTTTCAGTACTGCAATATAACAGCTTCATCCTCAAAGCATTAGATTTGACAACATTTTGAAAAATGTCACTGCTAGGGAGACTGGAATGTTTCTGTACCAGTTTAAAATCTTGGGTTTAAGAACTAAGATCAGTTTGAAGGCAAAGATTCAAAAATGATTTGAATAACAGGATCAGTAGCTATCAATACTAATGAGATGTTGTCAAATAGAAAGCAGCAACATATGGTGAGGTTTTCTTTCCAAAAGACACAACTGATACAATTTGTGCTTTTCACGTCGGGAGGATGTCCCGAGGCCCTAGACAATTAGGGTTTTGGACCTGAGCTAAGGGTAGGGATTGGGGAGGGTGACCAAAGGCATGGTCGAAGAGGAGGGTCTTTAGATAGGTTTTGAAGGAGGCAAGGGAGTGGGCGAGGCAGAGGGACTGTGAAATGGAGTTCCAGAGGGTGGAGACAGAGTGGCTGAAGACCCGCCTGCCAATGGTGGGTTGGGCCAGGTGGAGCGTGAAGCAGACCAGAGCCTGCTGAGCGAAGGGAGCAGGCAATTTAGTAGGGTGTTGGAAGGTCGCAGAGGTAGGAGGAGCAAGGCCATGGAGGGCTTTGAACTTGAAGACCACGATCTTGAACTGTATCCTCTGTGTGATGGGAAGCCAGTGGAGTCGGGCGAGGATGGGGGTGATAGGGTCGCAAAGCCTGGTGCAGGACAGCATACAGGCTGCAGAGATGATCTGCAACGTATGGAGGGAGGAGTTGGGAAGGCCAACAAGCAGGGAGTTTGAGTAATTGAGCCTGGATGTTATGAGTGCGTGTATATTTGAAATGTCAAAGCCAAATTGGTCTGGGGATATCCATTCCAATCTTGATTATCAATCACTCCTGAACATATGTTGAGTATAAGGTACATAGACCCTTATACTCAACATACACCCCTTTTTGTTTTTAAACCAATTACTTAATGGGCTGAAATTCCAGTCAGTGTTAAAATGGGAAAATCCCCAAACCACACTATCATGCATCACCATTGCCTCACGACACGAACCAGAAATACCATTTAGCTTACCAGTTCTCTGTGAGGGTTTGTTGAGCCTCCACTTAAATTCCTGATGTACCATGGCTAAGATGGGTACTCAGCAAAGCAGAGGCTTGAACTCACTGCACTCTGGTTATGCAACAGTTGGCATTTATAATTATTTAAATATCTGTAGGATGTATTTACCTCCATGCTCATTTAAGATAAAATCCACTGGGTTGCTGACGCCAGACGCTGAACACTGGGGCACAAGCAGAATAACTTTAACCTTCTGTAATCGGGGATCTGTAGGCTCAATGTCAGTGAAGTTCTGAGGTATCAGCTTTACGTCTGTAGAACATTTAAATAAGACGAGTCATAGTGAGCTTATATCTGAAGCTTTCATTTGATTAAATATAAATATGTACTTACTTCCTGGAAACTAAACATTTTTACAAATCTTAAGTGGTCCTATTTATTTCAGGTATTTATTTTACTTCTTTAGTGATATTGATACTACATTATAATTTGTTTAAATTATGGTGGGCATAATATTTTCTATGAGTTCTGTTTCTCCTATAAAAGTACTGACACCAACATCAAAACAAATAAATATTGGCCCAGTAACAAATCTAAAAATCAGCACCAAATGTACATTATTTGATACAAAAACAGAAGTCGATGGGAATACTCAGCAGGTTAGACAGCATCTATGTAGAAGGGAAAGTGAATCAATGATTCAGGTCCACAACTCTCTTGCTTTTGGTTCAGATTTTCAGCATCTGCAGTATTTTGCATTTTCCTCCAAAGAATGACACATGCTTAGTCTGTTCTTTCAAGTTTCTAAAATCAGTTTCTATTTGATACTGCAACAAATTGCATTTATATAATGCCTTTCACATTGGGAGAACATCCCAAGGCACTAGTCAATCGAGGATTTGCACCTGAGCTGGAGATTGGTTTTGGGAAGGGTGGAGGCCAAGGGAAGTGAAGATAGGGGGAGGAAGATGACCAAAGGCGCAGTCAAACAGGAAGTTCTTGAGACGAACTGAACCAACTTTTATTTTAAGCCAATGTCTGATAGTTTTGTTAAGCACAACTGAGTCACTAGGTGAGTAGAAAAGACAAAACTCTCTCAACAACAAATGACATTGGTATAGCGCCTTTCATGTTGGGAGGACATTCCAATGTCCCAGCTAGGGGTTGGGATCAGGAGAGATGGAGGGCAGGGAGATAGGTGTAGGAGTGACTGAAGGTGTGGTCGAAGGAGGGTCTTGAGACGGCGCCTTAAAGGAGGTAAGGGAGGGAGCAAGGAGAGGGGGACTTGTGGGATAGAGTTCCAAAAGGCAGAGGCTGAAAGCCCGATCGCCGAGGTGGGGTGGACCGGGAGGGGGGACACTGACCAGGTAGGAGCCTGCTGAGCAGAGGTCTAGATGGAGTTAGCAGGGCACAGAAAGAGGTAGGGAAGACCAATACCACGGAGAGTGTTGGAAGGCGAGGACAAGGATTTTAAACTTTTTTCTCGGGGGATGGGGTGCCAGTGGAGCTGGGCAAGGGTGGGAGTGATAAGGCTCACAGAGCCTGGTGCGAGAGAGGACATGAGCTGCAGAGGTTTGAATGATCTGTAACTTGTGGAGGGAAGAGTTGGAAAGGCCGTCAAGAAGGGAGTTAGCGTAGTTGAGAAGTCAGAGAAGCAATAATGACGTCTACAAAATCCTTCTATCCATTCATGCAAATACCTCTGTTTGCTAAGACCATTCTGGGGGTCATTAGTAATAAATCTTTTGCTGTAGAATCAACCTTCTGCTCTTTACAATGTAATATTTCTATATACATTTAATAACCTCCAATCTGATGCAATGGTACGGATGATGAACAGTCAACCACTTAAACACGCACTTTTACAGCCCATTTCTTCAAATAGCCTCCTCAGTTCAGTTTGTTGCAATTCAGCCTTCACCCCACAAACATAGACCTTGGATGAGTTCTGATCAGTCAGAACAGACATATGGGCAACAGTCAGCCGTGAACATGCATTAGTAACTACGATATCATCATCCATATTCATCAAGGCCTTCACTGAGTGTGGTGCGAGACTCCGAGTTTTATCCTGCAAGGAAAGGATGGACCTGGAATTTACCATTGGTTGTGAAACAAATACTCAAAACAAAAGTTAATACTTTATATGATTTAAATTTCAGAACCAGACAGTACTGTTAAAATTACATAAAAACATAAGAAACAGGAGTAGGCCATTCGGGCACTCGAGCCTGCCCCGCCATTTAATAAGATCATGGCTGATCTTCTAACCTAATTCCATTTACCCGCCCTATCCGCATATCCCATAATCCCTTTAGTTTTTAAAAATCTATCATCTTGAATATGTTCAATGACTGAGCATCCACAGCCTTCTGGGGTAGAGAATTCCACAAATTCACTACTCTCTGAGTGAATTTTTTTTTCGCAAATCAGTTCTAAAGAGGTGACCTTTAATTCTGAGACTATGACCCCTAGTTTTAGATTCTCCAACCAGGGGAAACAGTCTCACACTATCTATCCTGACAAGACCTTTAAGAATCTTATAGGTTTCTATAAGATCACCTCTAATTCTTCTATATTCTAGAGAATATAGGCCTAGTTTACTCAACCTCTCCTCATAGGTCAACCCCCTCATCCCATGAACCAACCTAGTGAATCTACGCTGCACCCCCTCTAAGGCGAGTATATCCTTTTTGGGTAAGGAGACCAAAACTGCGCACAATATTCTAGGTGGGGTCTCACCAATTACAGCAAGACTTCCCTACTCTTGTACTCTAACCCCTTTGCAATGAACGCTAACATGGCATTAGCCTTCCTAATTGCTTGCTTTACCTGCACACTAACTTGCTGTGATTGGTGTACAAGTGCACCTAAATCCCTCTGAATACTAACACTATCTAGTCTCTCCCCCTCTAGAAAATAGTCTGCTTTTCTACTTTTTCTACCTAGGTGAATAACTTCACACTTCCCCACATTGTACTCCATCTGCCACTTTCTTGGCCACTCACTTAACCTGTCTGTATCCCTTTGCATCCACCTTGTGTCCTCCTCACAGCTAACTTTCCCACCTAGCTTTGTATTGTCCATGAATTTAGATACAATAAGCTCTACTTCCTCATCTAAATCATTGATGTAGACTGTAAACAGTTGAGGCCCAAGCACTGAGCCTTGTGGCACTCCACTAGTCACAACCTGCCAATCTGAGAAGGACCCGTTTATCCCTACACTCTGTTTTCTGCCTGTTAGCCACTCTTCGATCTATGCTAATTGAAATGAAAATGTATTTTTCTAAATTATAATTTACATTTGATTTCTTCACTTACCTGGATTACTAGCTTGTAACTGGTAAAAAGTTGCAGGTCATAGAGCATACATTTTATCTGAGAAGGGAAAAGTAGTAGGTCCTGGCAGTGTCGATCCTGACAAAAAGATTGCCCCTGAAATTCGCTGACAGACTTTACCTTTGGAAAGCCTTCCAGCTCCAGTATATTCATCACATCTTCAAGGCTGTTCAGGTCAATATATGGTATTAGTCAATACCTTTCATCATTCAAAAGTTTAAAAACAAACAGAACTTTTAAGTCAGTTAGAAGTAGGAGAACTAACATTAAAACTGACACTTCGGTATTGCATGTATTGGTACTGGAACTATACATACATTGGTTGTAAGCCAGGGTATGAAACTACAAATAAAAGAGGTGGTTATTCTTCATTTTTGGTACCTATTGGTCATCAATCATAAGCAGTCAGGTACTTCAGTTTTCAATATTACTATAAAATGCCTGATGAATGGTGCTAGAAGCAATGTTAATATTAGTGCTCTATCTGCTTCCCGTCAGGAAAACAAATGGCATCTGGATTACACACTAATTTATGAGAACATTTCCATTGATTACCTGATCTTTAATGCATTTACCCAGGCGTAAAGTGGCAAAGTAGAAGCTCGTTTTTCCTGGTTTCTCACAGCTTCAGGAAGAATTAAGTCAATGGAGATTGCATCATTCTTAATCCGACATCGAGCTAGTGCAGCAGCAATCTTAGTTTTAAATCTAAACAATGAGAACAATTGATCGATTTTTAAGCTGTCACTTCATACTTACATCAATTTTGAGTGCAAATACTACAAGTGCATATATGGTTATGACTAGCAGTACAACAGCTTTTAATTGGCAAAGAACCAATTATAGCGGGAGATATATGTTCATTAAAATATCCATTCCTACCAACCTTGTGGTAAGATTCAACAATGATGAATCAAAAGTCAGGGTGCATGATGCGTTATGTATTAACACATCATGCACCCTGACTTTTCCTTTCAAATGTTTCCCTTCAAATTACAACAACTTGCATTTTTATAGCGGCTTTCACATAGTTGCAAGTTTAATGAGTACTCAAAGGACGCTATATAAATACAAGTTGTTGTTGGATGCATGGAACTCTATTTGCTTTGGATTCATGGCGATGGGTTTCCTCGTGTGTCAGTCGCCTATCTAGCTGACCAAAAAGGAAACTTATCTACCCATAGTTAATTCCCTTAAATTATGAAACCAAACTTTAATGTCTGTATTAGATTAAAATAATTTACTGGTTTGCATACTTATGAAGATGCTGTTCTATATCTCTAACATCAGCTATTACATCATCTGCTTCACAGACGCTGCGTGGCTGGAATTTCCGATTTTGAAAATCATATAACATAACCATCACCAGACCAGTCAGATCAGTGGACTGAAAAAGAAAAGAAACATACAATTTAAAACAGAATATGCTGAATGCAACATACCATATCATATAAAACTCTGAACAGACATTTCATTGACTTAGTGACATATATAATTTTGGTTTTATTATAGCTATTCATGACGATATTTGAGATTTGTGAAAAAACCAAATTATTAAATAACAGTCCATGAATTCCCTGAATAATACTTAAGAATATTGTGTTTCAATCAAAAAAAATGTGAATATCGTTTGACTTGAAACAAAGTTCTAACTCCTCAAAAAAATGATGTTGTGTGAATTTTTAAAAAATATTATAACAACAACTTGGATTTATATAGCGCCCTCCATGCCAGAGCGCTTCAGAAACAGATCCCGGGGCCGAGCCGGAGGGAGGTGGAGGAAGGTGACCAAAGGTGCGGTCGAAAAGAAAGGTCTTCAACCGAGAAATGTAGGTTTGGGTAGATGTGGTTACTCAGATTATCCTCAGGTGGTAATACTTTGCATTTATTGCCAATGATGTTTGTTGTCAAAGGTTGTAAAACAACAACACCTTTTGTCATTTCCCTTGCCACTGAACTCTGGTCATTCAACGCTAAGCACAACTCTCAGTAGCACAAAACATTTCTTTTATGAGGCATGAACAAATATGGCTTATTTAAGTCAAAGTAGACCATAAATTCTCAGTCTGTTACTGAATTATACATAAATATTTTAATGAATACTGGAACAAAATATGAATAGTTTATAAAAAAATGTATTTAAATAAGTTAAATCATATCATGATATCCATTTATATTATACAACAGACCAGAACCAATGTATTGACTGGATTTGGCAGTTTGATATCAGTTTTGCTTAATTGTCAACAACTAATCCAAGTAACACATGCAGGGCTGAAAAAATCGAAGAGCATCACTTGGGCCCGCATTTAACAATAATGTTCCATGTGTTTGACATAACGCCTGTCATGTCAAGATATCTGAAAGTGCTTCCCAGGATAAATTGTAAAGTGCAGTAATTGTATTTATTTCTTACAGGTAAAACGTGACTGGGGTTGTAAAACAGTAGCATGAGAAGCAAATGGGGTAGAAGATTAATTGTCTGAGCATCCAAACAATTCTTTCCTTATGAAGTGGAATTCTGACCATGTATCTAAACTGAACTGAGAACTGGGTTGTTAGGTTTGCACTAAGTGGCTGATACTTTTGATAGTCTCTTAGGCTGTTGACCACATCTCAGCCTTGCATTTTTATTGTGCCTTTCACATAGCTGCAAGTTTAATGACACTATGTAAATGCAAGTTGTTGTTGGATACATGGAACTCTATTTGCTTTGGATACTCTTAAACACAGCGATGGGTTTTCTTGTGTGTCAGACGCCTACCTAGCCGACCAGAAAAGGTCTACTTATGCTACTGTGAGACAGGCTGGGCTGTGCTGTCATCAGCAGTACCCTGGAATACTGTGGACCCGCCTGGCTCAGGAACCAGAGTAGAGACCGTCACAGAGGCTGGTTCAATTCCCATATTACTCTGATAGTGAGATGTAATATTCTTGCTATTTAATTGTGTTTTGCCTACAAACCACAGTCATTTAATTTTACAGTGAATCCAGTGAAGCGCTTTAAGACATCTCAACAACGCGATAAGGCGCTTTATCAAATTCAAGCATTATTATTATCTCTCCACACCCATAAAGTAGCACAGTTCAGAGGGATTGACTGAACAAACAGGAGTACATTAGTCAGAGACATTGGAATGGTGCGCAATGGGAGAAACCTACAAACACTCTTACTATCTGTCGTCATCAACGGAACAGTGGATCAGGACTTGATTGTGTTTGCTCTGCCATTACTTATGTTTGGCCAGCCGGATGTCGGACAAATGCGGACGCCCACCCATCACCACATTTATGAGTGTCCAAATCAGGCTGAGCATTCTACACATGCATGCAATCTATATGAAAATTTCTGGGTCTGGTCTGTCCCTCCAAATCCTGCCAAACGAGCCAGGCTGGCTGGTTTGTCATTAACAGTATCCTGGAATACTGCAGACCTGCCTGCTCAGGAAATCGACAACCAAGAGCGCCACAGAGTTCACTCAAGTATTGGTTAGAGCACTCGCCTCGCAAGCGAGAGGACTTGGGTTCAATTCCCGGGCAGGGCAAAACGATAGGCAAGTTTTTTTTACTCCACAAGCCTCTGTTTACCTAGCAGTATATAGGAACCCAATTATTAATCAATTAGTGGATTGCTTTTCCAGGGGTAATAATCCCTTCAAAATAAATTACAGAATATAATTTGGTCAGTTAATCCATGGCTGTTATGGGACACTCCTCTGCGCAATTGGCTGCCAGGTTTTGCCCACAAAATATACAGTCAATTCACTTTACAGAATATTCTATTGAGCGCTCTGAGACATCTCAAAGACGTGATAAGGCACTATATCAAATGCAAGGATTTTTATTATTATCATTAAGAAAGTCATATTGGAGTCATCAAGTCACATTGACCCTGCTTACCTTTTCCCCCCACCCCTTTTCCCAAGATGATATTGCCAGTAGTAGTAGCAGTTCAGGAGAATGAGACCTCAGTTTGTAGTCTGCTGTAGCTTTGCGATATATTTTTTAGCCTCTTCCAGTTGACCTGGTAATTTATTTATCCAGGTCAGTGGTATCAGTATGAGTAATCTAAACCAGGAGTATTTGAAACAGATTTAGGATTCTGGGTGGGATGTTCATATAAGAAAACACATTTGCTCCAAACGGAAATTGAGAGGATATCCAGTGGGACATAGAAAACTTTCCTTTCTTAAGAACTTTTCCTACTGCTAGAGGATCAGCAAGGCCTGATTGCTGAGCAAATACAGAACACATAGAGATGATAAAATAATAATCCTTGCATTTGATATAGCGCTTTATCACATCTTTGAGATATCTCAAAGCACTTCACAGAATATATTGTAAAGTGAATTGACTATCTTTTGTAAGTGAAATGCCTACAGCAGCAGCCAACTGCGACAGCAGTGCCCCACAAACAGTAAGGAATTGAGTGATCAATTTTTTTAAATGAAATCCATTAGCCGTAGTAAACCCAAAGTTGAATCAACATTAAAGTTTTGATCAGCCCATCATTAATTTCATGATTGCCCAATTTTGGAACCTCCCATACTCCCAGTATGCATTCCGTTTCCCAAATCAGAAATTCATTAATACATCTGGTCACTATTAAAGCACATGCACAACAGATCCTTTGGAAAAGGTTCTTGTGACGACATTACGAAAAGTATGAAAGAAACTTTTATGATTCAGAGTAACCTACGCACACGTTCTTTCTACTTAATTCTGTAATGCAGGACATTACTCTCAATTACACCTGCACCAACATGTTCAAGCTTGTTCTAGTTTCAGTTTATAAACAAAGCCTTGTTTGGCATGGATTATATAGACTGATGATAAAGGCTCTATATATTTCTGGCATGAAAGCACTCCACACAGTGATATTTTCATGGTTTTGTTCACTTGCACCATATTTGACAATTCGGTCACTGGTCAATCATTTCGAAGGATTTAAAAACATATCCATGTTTAGTTTGAATTAAAATCTGCCTGAACTTCACTTAAAATTGTCTTCACTTTTATTCATGACTCACGGTTTTATAATTATTACAAAATTATCCAACACAAAAGATATGAATCTTCATTGTGATATTCCAGAATATTAATAATGAAATAATTCTTACATCTGATATAGCATCAGGAGGTTGTCTCAAAGCGCTTCACTATAAAGTGTATCTTGTAGACTAAAGCAGCAGCAAATTTGCATGCAACAATGTTCCACAAACACCCATGAAGTGAATGACCAATTTTATTTGGGAGATTGTCGACCAGGACACTGCGAGAAACTTCCTTCTATTTTCGAATAGTACCACGGGATCTTTAGTTTCCACCCGAACAGGCAGACGGGACCTCGGTCTAACATCTCATCCAAAAGACGGTACTTTCAGCAATGCAGCATTACATTAGGGTTGCATTGAAGTGTGCTGAGTTGAAAGTTCCAGCGTAGGGCTTGGACCCACAACCCTTCTGACCCAGAAGCAAGAATGCTACTAACTGAGCCAGGCTGACACATGTACTAAAGTATATTGGAGGAGGGGTACAATGGATCAAAGACAGCATCTCTAAAAAAATGTTTACTGTATAAGAATATTACAATAGGAGTTTTTGTGAACAGCAAATAATAATCCTTGCATTTGATATAGCACCTTATCACATCATTGAGACTTCTCAAAGTGCTTCACAGAATTTTAATGTTAAGTGTAGTGATTGTACTTGTAGGCAAACGTGGTAGACAATTTTCATACCACAGTGACTATATGATAGGAAGCAAGGATGATATTGCACTTGGTTATCAGCTGTCTGGAACAGTGTTTTTACTAAAACAGTGATTTTCAGCGACAACACAATCTACTCAGTTTCATTATTATAAAACCAATTTTAGATTGCAGCACAGTAATACATTGGGATGAACAGACTATTGCACTGAGCAATGGTACATCAGTTCTTCCACTTGTCATCATGACCCTGATTAATCATCTGAGCTTTCGGCACTCATGGAGGGGACAAGGTGCTGCAATGGATCAGAACAGTCTTTCACATCTGGGTTGAGGGAACTTTCTGTGACTTCCCAAAATGCTTAGTACAACCACAGTGGGACCTCATCCCATCAGTTAAGGCTGGATTTCAGCCAATTTTCTACAAGTGAAAGAACAACTTGAATCGGCTACCTAACTCCTTCATATCTGAAATAAAATATGAATTGTCATCATGACAAATGAAAATCAACTGAAATGTACCAACACTCAAAATAATCAGCCAAACATTATTGGACTTTCATGGACACATTAGATATTCCACAGCTCTTCTCAATGTGATGGAATATTGAGTTGTCAGCATTTCTGGGTAGAACTGTGCATTCAGAATCATGGATATCCCTGAAGAGCACACATC